CAGTGAAGTCACACTTAAGTGATACATACTTAGGCTAATTTGGATTTATTTGGGGAGATTCCCAAGGATTTGTTAAAGAAATTCCACAGTTCAAATTCAGTCTTTCTGACTGACAGTGAAAGTGGTGTAGCTCTTATTTAAAGATCTCTGTGACTTATGGCCTCAGGCCATTGTGGTCATTCTGGACTTTTTTAGAATATTATCTCTAAATTCTGCAACTCTGACTCATTTAAAAAAAAACAAAAAACCCTTGAACTTCTCTCTGCCCCACAGTAATGTTGCTACAAGATGCTGTACCTTTTATTCTTAGAATGGGAACTTGAATGAAAAAAAATAGCTGATGGTCTTGCTGAGGATGGAAATACTGTACCTCTTTAAGATAATAGTTGCTATTTTTAGACAGACTTACAAAGAGCTGGGAAATGGTGATGCTTCTAATCTTCATGCAGCCTTAGGCATGAGGAGATGCACTCTCGAAAATATCTAGTTATTTAGCAGTTTCTCCAAATAAGTTTTTGAAAATACTTTATTTTTAAAAGCATATTTGTAATAATGAGTAACTGACTCAGCCCTGGTGTTTGAGAGAGACTCTTGAAGTTCCAGTGCAAAGTAAACATCACAGTTTATGAAACAAAAATAGATTTCCATAGTAAATCTTAGAACAATGGTGCATTCCTGGGCCTGGGGTTCAACAGTGGGTATTAATTCAAAGCAGCTGGATCCTGGGATGAGAGTAAAACAGCCCTGTCTTCCCACTGTGGTCTTGCAGAGCGTGATATGCGGCGATATTTTGCTGCTTCTAAATGTTGCTTTATCTTTTTAGTGGGTCAGAGATAGACTGTAGATATACGAAGACTTTTGAGTACTGACTTGGCCAAGCTTTTTCTTTTCAGAAAATGGCCCGAGACATAATGCTTCTTTCATAAAAGGCAGACCCGTTCCTTCCCTCTGGAGTCTGCTTTCTTCTGTTCTCTCACTTTCCAGCCTGGATTTTATCCATGTTCTTCTTTATCTCGGTCCCTTCTGTAGTTTACATGTAGCGGTCACCGAGTTGTATTTTGGGATTACAGCGTATGGGGCATTGTGAAACAATTATGAGTTGATATGCTTATAAAAGCAATTATAGGCTTCACTGGTAAGAATCCGCCTGCCAATGCAGGAGATCTGAGTTCAATCCCTGGGTCAGGAAGATCCCCTGGAGAAGGAAATGAAATGGCAACCCACTCCAGTATTCTTGCCTGGGAAGTCCCATGGACAGAGGAGCCTGGTGAGCTACAGTCCATGGAGTCACAAGAGAGTCAGACACGAATTAGCAGCTAAACAACAACAGAAAGTAATTATATAGCCAAAGCAAAAACATTATTAGAGATTCTGGGGAGCTCAGAGGAAGGAGGGTAACAGGCCCTTCCAGTCAGGTGGTCCTGGGGCACGGCCGACAAGCTCGCCTCCAGTTCTCAGGAGTAAAATATTCCACAGTCGTTATGAGGGATTGATTATCGGGAAGCATTGATCTGCATATGTCGGCTGTGTGTGTGTGTACACACACACATACATGCATATTTAATGATGACATTCTGATCCTTGTTTCAGAACTAAGCTATATTCAATTTTCACCAAGTTGGATCATTTCTCCAAAATAAATCAGGAGATGCTCCACCTTGGTACTCTTCATTTATAAAAGAGATGAAGGAACCTGCCTGCCCTGGGGATTTTCTGACATTTTTCTGAAGAAGGTTTGTGAATGAAGTAGAGAATTTTTTAGAAATGGGGGGGGGTCTACCTGGGAATTTCGTTGGTGGTGGGTTGTCATTGTCGCTTTTTTCCCATAGTCCTAGCAGAGTGAGACATGATAAAACTAGGTAACTGAAAGAGTTAAAAGGGTTTTTGAGTTGGTTGCATCAGGGGAACAGATGGAGTGCACGTAGGTGGGGAGGCTACTGTTTAAACGGAGGAGGGTTACTGTGTATTGGACGGGCACGGATTTTACAGGGTAGCTGGGGACTGGCTAATACATGTGCTGGGGAGCACAGTAAAGCGGAAGCCGAAGCATATGGTCAGGAAGGGAGTTAAGAGGCCGCCGACAAAGAGGAAGAACGTGGCAGCTGAACTAATAACAGAGGGGAGATGAGAAGTTGGTAAATTGGGTTTTAAGTACCTAAAGGTCTTAAGAAACTAAGAAATCTCAGGTAATAAGGAAATCAGTTTGGAAATGTTAATATTGATACCTGCACTAGGGAAGTGTTTACTGAAGCACAGAGAAGGGAATAAAGGAAGCAGGTCTGAATGATCCGCCATGGCTTCACGGATACACAGATGAGCGAAGCGTGTCGAGGAAGTGAAATCAGGTTAAGCCTTCAAGTCACAGAGGCAGGAAACCAATAAAGGACGTTGAGATGCAAAGAAGCCGACCTGGAACCAGCGACCAGACAGAGCGTAGGACAGACAGACAGCTCCAACCTTTCCTCTTCGTGTTGGCATTTGGATGGTTCTCTTGTTTTTTCTTTATCTTAAAAAAAAAAAAATTAGGTTCAGTAAAACAAAGCAAAACAAGCAAACAGACAAAAGTTGCCTTGGCTGTGTTGGAACAAGGCCCTTCCCCTGTTGTGTTCTTGGCTTGGTGTGGTGAGTTTGCCAAGCACACGGGCCAAGTCATCTCTTCATCTGGCAGGAGGTGGTTTTTGCCCTGCGTGGACCTCAGATCATCTTAGAGATTCATGAGATTATATTTATCAAGGCACCTCCAAGGAATCTGAGGAGCTAATACCAGCATAACAATCACTGGTATTTGTGGAGGACTTTAGGCTTTTCAGACATTCTTGTTTGAGCTTTCAAATCGATTATGCGGCTTGTCGCTAACAGCCTCTTTCTTGTTTGTGTGTAATTAACCAAAATATGAATTAAAAGAGAGAAACAAATGTAGGAATTCTATCATTATTTAGGAGAAAAGCAATGCAATAAAACATTAGAAAAGACCCTGATACTGGGAAAGATTGAAGGCAGGAGAGAAGGGGGTGACAGAGGACGAAATGGTTGGATGGCATCACTGACTCCATGGACATTAGTTTGAGCAAACTCCGGGAGATAGTGAAGGACAGGGAAGCCTGGTGTGCTGTAGTCCACGGGGTCACAAAGAGTCAGACACAGCTGAAGGACACACACACACACACACACACACACACACACACACACACAGCGCAAAGAGGGCACCATACTTAGAGCTACTTTAAAATATATTCTGAAAAAAACCACAGTGCAGAGTTTTAGAAAGACCCCTATAGATCAGTGGGTCACATGCCTTTTTAATTCATGAACTCCTTTGATAACTGGATAAAAAAAAATTATGGATCCCCTGTCCCCAACTCAAAAAATAAAAAAATATGATCAGAGGTTCCCACAAGGGAACCTAAATCTTGGTAATAAATGTGTGAATTGGGCCAAGTGTAGACAATAAAGAATGTTGGTACATTTCAAACTAGAAAGTAATGCCGCGTTAAGGCAGGAATGGTGGGGTTTGTGAAAATCAAAGTGTAGTTGATGAGTTGGATAGATAGCATCACTGACTCAACAGAGATGAATTTGAGCAAACTCCAGGAGATAATGAAGGACAGAGGAGGGTGGCATGCTGCAGTCCATGGGGTCACAAAGAATCGGACACGACTTATCGAATGAACAACAACAGTAGTTGTTTTACAATATTATGTTAGTTTCAGGTGTTGGCTATATTTCCCTGTGCTATACAGTATATCCTTGTTGCTTATCTATTATAAATATAGTAGTTTGAATTGTTAATCTCATACCCATAATTTGTCCCTCTCCCTTTTGATAATCACAAGTTTATTTCTATATCTGTGAGTCTGACAATCATTTGTGATATTTTTTCTTAGATTCCACCTGTAAGTGGTGTCTTACAGTCTTTGTCTTTCTCTATCCGACTTATTTCACTAAGCATAATAGTCCCTAGGTCCATTTATGCTGCTACAAATGGAAGTATTTCAATTTTTTTATGGCTGAGTAACATAATGGAATATTATATGTTCCAAGATATAGCTCAGATGGTCAAGAATCTGCCTGCAATGCAGGAGACCCGGTTTTGATCCCTGGATCAGGAAGAGCCCCTGGAGAAGGAAATGGCAACCCACTCCAGTATTCTAGGCTGGAGAATCCCATGGACAGAGGAGCCTGGCAAGTCACAGTCCATGGGGTCGCTAAAAGTTGGACTAACACACAGTATTCCATTGTGTATGTATATTGTATCTTCCTAATCCATTTATCTGTTGGTGGGCGCTTGAGTTGCTTCTATGACTTGACTGTTGTAAATAGTGCCGCTATGAACATTGGGGTGCACATATCTATTTTTATGGATGTATACTCAGGAGTGGATTTGCTGGATCATATGGTAGTTCTATTTTTATTTTTTTGAGGAACCTGCATATTGTTTTCTATAGGGGCTGTACCAGTTCACAGTGTACAAGGGTTCCCTTTTTTCTACATCCTCACCAACATTTATTATTTGTAGACTTTTCCTAATAGCCATTTTGACAGGTGCAAGGTGATAGTTCACTGCTGTTTTGATTTGCATTTAGTGACTTCACTTTCACTTTTCACTTTCATGCACTGGAGAAGGAAATGGCAACCCACTCCAGTGTTCTTGCCTGGAGAATCCCAGGGACGGCGGAGCCTGGTGGGCTGCCGTCTATGGGGTCGCACAGAGTCGGACACAACTAAAGTGACGCAGCAGCAGCAGCAATAATTTGTGAGGTCGAGCATCTTTTCATGTGCTATTGGCCATCTGTGGGTCTTCTTTGGAGAAATGTGTCTTCAGGTCTGCCCTATTTTGGATTGGGTTGTTTAAACAGTTTTTTTTAAAAAAAACAGCACCTGGTAAATAGAATACGTTTGAGGAAAATGTGACACCTGCTCTCCCCAGTCCCTCCAGTTTGCAATCCTAGGCTTTTATATATTATGTGTAAACATGGGAAGTTCTCATTTTTTGCCCTAAGGCACGACAACAAGCTCAAACGCGTCATCAAATGGCGGAGGACAGCAAAGCAGATTACTCATCAGTTCTTCAGAAATTCAACCACGAGCAGCATGAATATTACCACACTCACATTCCCAATATCTTTCAGGTAAGTGGTTCAGTTCTCTCAGATTTGCTTGGCTTAGAAACATATTACTTGGAATCATGATTTCCAAGTATTTATAGCATTCTAAATTTCCTCTAACTCAAGTCACTTTTAAAAAACATTCAGATTAAGCACATACTGACATTAAGATGAAACATGACATGAATCCCAAGATTAATCAATAGACTTTGTAAGTTTCCTTGGTTTGACCCTGCAATCATTCTTGGTCAGACTTAGAACTGGGATTCTTACATTAACACTCTTTTTGCTAAAAGGACCATTCTACTTACAAAAGTGCCAAACTTACCTTTAGGAATCAGAGCAGCATTAAGACAGTCGTAGGATTTGAGCAGGTGACTATGAACATTGGGGTGCATGTATCTGTTGGTGGAATTAATGTTTTCTTTTTCTTTTTTCTGGATGTGTACCCAGGAGTGGATCATATGGTAGTTCTATTTTTATTTTTTTGAGGAACCTGCATATTGCTTTCAAAGGGCTGCACCAATTTGCATCCCCACTATCCGTGTACAAGGGTTTTCTTTTCTCTGTATCCTCACCAACATCTGTTATTGGTAGGCTTTTCCTGATAGCCATTTTGACAGGTGTGAAGTGATAGTTCCCTCTTGTTTTGACAGTCCTGTTGTCTTTCCTTTGGATTGTTTTTCTTTGGGCTACTTTAAGTTGTCAAGAATAGTATGAGAAAGGATACATGATACTGTTCTCCCCACTTTGGGAATTTTTTACAACTTCAAGTTCCACTGTAGAAAAAATAACAAAAATTTGTATCATGGTGTCTACACAGCAAACAAGAACTTCCAGCTTGCAAAGGAGAGGGTGGGACAAATTGAGAGAGTAGCAGTGAAACATACACATTACCACATGTGAAATAGATGGGGAGTGGGATTTGCTGTATGATGCAGGGAGCTCAGCGAGGTACTCTGTGACCACCTAGAAGGATGAGATGGGGGGTGGGAGGGAGGTTGAAGAAGGAGGAGATGTATGTATACTTATGGCTGATTCACACTGTTGTGTGGCAGAAATCAGCACAGTATTGTAAAGCAGTTATCCTCAATTAAAAAGAAATTTAAAAAACAAAAAACCCCTCCAACTTGTAGAAGGAAGGTACACTAGTTAATCTCAGCCTGTGTTGGGTCAAGGCAGTTAACCCTGATGCCATGCTTTTGGTAAAGGATGAAACAGTGGCTCAAAGATGGAGGAAATATTTGAAATCTAATATCAAATGGTATTAGTAGTAAAACTACCTGCGTTTCAGGTTCTTACTGAAATTGGAATGGAATTGTGTAAAGTGTACATTTAGACAGCTTAGCCATTAGTAAAATATGTGTCCAGCTGGCTAAAGTAGAAGCACAATAAATTTATGGTTGCTTTAACTCTAACCTTTTTTATTTGTTTTTGGCCACCTCAAGCGTCATGAAAGAATCTTAGTTCCCTGACCAGGGATCAAACTCGTGCCCATAGTAGTGGAAGGGCAGAGTTTCAACCACTGGACCACCAGGGAAGTCCCTAACTGGAACCTTTTTATAAGTCTATTTCCCTCCTAGAGAAATTTTTAGAGGTAACAATGCTGCCAAAAAACAACTTCCTTAAATAATAGTAAACCAAACTAATTTTATGCAAACTCTAATGTTGCAGAAAATACAAGAGATGGAGGAGAGGAGGATAGTGAGAATCGGAGAATCAGTGAAGACATACGCAGAGCTGGACCGGCAGGTGATCCCCATCATTGGGAAATGCTTGGATGGAATCGTAAAAGCAGCCGAGTCAATTGATCCAAAAAATGTAAGTACTATAGTTTGGACTTAATGTATAACTGTGGTTCCGTTATTTCCCTGTCCCTTTCCACAGTGACCATATTTAATCATCTGAAAGTAGTTGCTTTCAGTGGTCACAAGTACTTTTCAACAATAGCAATACCTTTTTAGAGTTTTTTAAATTCAGCCCTCCATGGTTTGGATTTAGTGTAGTCCTTGGCACATTTGGGACTGAGGATGTTAGTATAAGTTTTGTTGTTACCGTTTAGTCACTAAGTCATGTCCAACTCTTTTGCAACCCCAAGGACTAGCCCACCAGGTTCCTCTGTCCATGAGATTTCTCAGGCAAGAATACTGGAGTGGGTTGCCATTTCCTTCTCCAGGGGATCTTCCTGATCCAGGGACTGAACCCACTTCTCCTGCTTAGCAGGCAGATTCTTTACCACTGAACCATCAGGGAATCCTGAGAGTATAGGTTTAGGTTCATTTAACAGTGACAATAGTGTCTTAAGACAGTTTATTTTTCCTCCCATGTGAAGGTGTCTACCAGTCAGAGCATCCAGCCATGGTATGGGCAAATGATCTGCAAGTCCTCAGGAATTCAGGCTTCTCCTAGTTCACAACTTTTGATGATGTGACTTTCAAACTCTGTAGTTCCAGCCATCACATCCAAATTCCATAAAGCATTACATAGAGAAGAGTCCACACTATCTATTTAAAGAAGCCTTCTAAAATTGTTCCCTGTACTTCTGCCTACGTCTCAGAGATCTCAGAAGTCAAAACTTAGTCCTGGGGCCACTTCCTGCTGTACAGAAGGCTGGAGAGTGAAGCCTTTTTGCTGGGTAGCTGTGTGCCCAGCTTAAAATCAGGGTTCTTATTACTCAGAAGGAAGGATGATTGGCCCTTACAAGACAACTGACATCTCTGGCACACGTACAAATTCCAAGTTAGCTAAAATAGCTACGGCAAATTAGAATGTGGGCTCATGGTAGAAAGTTGAGATCTTCCCAAATTGTCTTCTCTAATATTGTTTTCTTTTTTAATCAGATATCATTGAGCTAGAATTTTATTACAAGTCACAGGTGCTTTTGTAATACTTTAACTATACATCTATCTGTCTTGGACACAATGGTTGTCATTTCCTTACACACTGGTCTTCATCACCTGACCCCGAAAAGACTCAGAACTCAAAGTTCCTAGCAGGGAGACACCGCAGAGTAGGCGGTCAGTTCCCTCATTTATTCAGCTAACGTTTATTCTATCATTATCGTCAGGCGTCATCCAGGTGCTGGGGATGCCGTGGAGGAAAAACAGAAGGGAGCTTACATTCTAGTGGAGGAGAGACTTTGAACAAATATATATATAAAGGAAAATTATTCAATAAATTCCTATCTTTGAACCACAGTGAACCAAAGAAATTGGAGAGGGGATCTTTTTTTGCTTTGACTTTGTGTATGCCAAATTGCTTTAAGACCTTCTGATGAGAATCAGTTCTTACATTACTATATTTTTCGAGGGAAGGGCTTCCTAGGTGGCTTGGTGGTAAAGAATCCGCCTGCCAAACAGGAGATGCGGGTTTGACCCCCGGATCAGGAAGAACCCTTGGAGAAGGAAATGGCAACCCACTCCAGTATTCTTGCCTGAGAAATCCCTTGGACAGAGGAGCCTGGTGGGCTACAGCCCATGGGGTTGCAAAGAGTTGGACACAACTTAGCAACTAAGCAGTGACAATTTTTCAAGGGAATTGCATAATAAATGACCCAATTTGTCTGCTTTTTGGCAAAGTTGTTCTTAATATTCGTTTCTCTAAATGTAGAAAAATAGTTATTAAAATTATCTTGAAATCTCAACTAGATGTATAGCTTTACAAGTTATTCTTTCAAATGATAAATACATTACTAGAAAAAATCTGTTAATATAACTTCCTTAGAATGTCATCTGTGTGAGGGCATCATAGTTCAGTGTGTGGAAAGTATTTACATGGATTGGAACATATTTCTGTGTGATGGGTGTCATTGCAGGATTCACAGCTGGTCGTAGAAGCTTATAAGTCTGGGTTCGAGCCTCCGGGAGACATTGAATTTGAGGATTACACTCAGCCTATGAAACGCACTGTGTCAGATAACAGCCTTTCAAATTCCAGAGGAGAAGGCAAATCAGAGCTCAAATTTGGTGGCAAATCCAAAGGAAAGTTATGGCCGTTCATCAAAAAAAATAAGGTACTGATGACTGGACCCAGTGTGATATGAGTGTTACAACATGTGGAGATGTTCACTCTGTCTTTTAGTCTTTAAAGGAACGAAGATTTTTTTTTAAGCTTGTAGTTGCAGAATGCAAACAGGAGGCTAGTGTGCTGTTTTATTTTAAGACAATCTCTCTCTTTGGTGGTGGTACCTTGGCCATGGCCATTTGTCTTATTTCAGATGCATTTATCACCTGCACCGTCACCCACACTAACAGACTACTGACCTCTGGCCGTTTCGCATCATGCCTTTCACTCCTAAGTCTCCTAGATTGCTGGTTCCCTGGGCTGAGAGAAGGGACGTTGTGCCACATTTCTATAACCATGTATCAGCATCTCTAACTGAAATGGTTTCCATGAATTAATAACCTAGTTTTGAGCTCGTGTTAACATATGTATCCATGAACATTTTTTATTTTCTTTTTAGAGTGTGATACGTAGGTGCATGACAGCATTAACCTGGGCATAAAGGGTGTGATCAAGGCGACATGAACTGCTTTAACCTTAGAATAATTTAATATTTCATTTTAAAAGACTGTCTTGCTGTTTTCACAACCTTAGCATTTAAGGACTTTCATTTTCTTCCATCTAGCTGTGTTAGTCTAGGTGGTTTAGAAGTGTTTACCCTTCTGGCTTAGACTGGTTTAGAGTAACTAGTTAGAACAGTAGTTTGCATGTGAAAGTCTGCATGAGCTTCTTGTCAGATATTTCTTGCTCTTCCTCTGTTGCTTTACTTACTAAAACTCCCACTTTCACCGTATTCTCTATCTAACATGTCCTTCCATGTTTTCTTTTGGACCATGGCCTAAATTTTTAATTGTTTGTGTTTGACTTGCTTTGGATTTCAAATATTATTTGATGCTTATTTTTGTTTTGTGTCTTATCTTCTTGTTTCTGATTTTTTACTCTGTCACCGCTCCATCTCTTACACGTAGCTTATGTCCCTTTTAACATCCCCCCATCAGCCTCCCCCACCTCCCCCTGCCTCTGCCTCACCCTCTGCTGTTCCCAACGGCCCCCAGTCTCCCAAGCAGCAAAAGGAACCCCTCTCCCATCGCTTCAACGAGTTCATGACCTCCAAACCCAAAATCCACTGCTTCAGGAGTCTAAAGCGTGGGGTAAGTTCTCCTCTCAAGTCCTGTCTCTCTGATGCGCTTTGGTTGCATGTTTTGTTCTGCATAACTTAATTTTGTTTGTGAATGACTCCATTGTGTTTTCCCATAACATAAAACAATAAGAACCTATGATTCATTATAGCCGGAAAGAAGAAGAGCCACAGAGAGAGCAAAAAAAGAAAAAAAAAAAACAGAAGGAAGTAGGATGGATGGAAGGAGAGAGAGGGGAAGCCAGCCAGCCAGAGTTCTTTATTGTCTGTAATCCATTTTGGTGGGACCTTGCTTCATTTCCTTTCTGAAATATCTAAGTCATTAATATTTTACCTTGATCTTACCAAAAAAAGGAAACTTGGATTCAGTTTCTAAAGCTAGTGACATTGGAAGAGGTGGAAATCACTGCACAGTCAGAAAAGATTTGCTTAATAATTACTGAAACAGTGTACTTCTCTCAGCTATGCCTCCGGGTCTGTGGGGAAATGGTATGGATTACAGGGGTTTCTTTAGCTGTTTCGGTGAATTTACAAGCTGTGGATCAAACATCTGGTAACAGATCTGACTGCATAAGAGCTAGTGCAGTATGTATCTTGAAAGGGTGAAATAGTAGCAGCTGATATTTATCATATACTTGTCATTTGCCAGACTCTGTTCTATGTGCTCATTTAATTCTGTCAACCACCCTTTGAACCTAGGTACTAAGATTTCTTTATTTTACTGATAAGCAAACTGGTACCTACAAAGATGAAGCTAGGAAGATATATAGCCAGGATTTAAAGCCAGAGAACCTGTTTATGATCTGAGAATCTATGTGTTCACACTCAAGAAGAACCTGTTTTATTCTGATTGACTCAGTTTTGCCATCCTAATTAAGATCACATGTGCTTAAGCCACAGGGTTTTATGGAATTGATCAGCAGTCCAAAGCAGATACCACTTTGGTTTTTTAGAAAAAAATTGGACAAGGTCATTCATTTGTAGCCTCTTGAATAAACCTAAATGGTCAGTCTAAGCCATCCCAAAATACTCTTTATAATGAATAATGAGTAAACAAACATTAAATGCATATGTGGTAAGGTTTTCTTTTATTCTGTTCTGTGAGAGTTGCAATATGGTTGTAGTGGAGATGTGTTCCTTGTAACAAATTTTTACTTTTCCTTTCCTCTGTGTATAAAAGATGTTTTTAAAAAATAGCTACATTTTAAAATAAGGGGCAAAACCCTCATTTTTTTATATGTTGATTCCTTTAGTAATAGAATCTGAAAGTTTTCTGCAAAGATGTAGTTGGTGGAATTATCCTGTTTTAAGGTTACCCAGCACATCAGGGTAAGAATTATAAGTTAATTTCCTAAAGATTTCATGAGCGCCCTTGTTAGAAGGCAGAATATAGCTTCAGCAGTGGATGATGGCTCATGTTGAACTCTATAATTAGATCTCCATTATGCTGGCTTTTAGAATTAATTCTCCATCCATCTCTGCTCCTTGTTCATGGAAGAATCTCCAACAAATGACTATAGGTCGCTATACTAGACTATCAACTAGGAAGTTTTACATTAACTGTGAAACAGTTACCCCACCTCTGCTGCTTCCAAAACCTGTACAGAGCACTCATTTATTATATTTATGAAAATATGTCTGCATTGTCTTTTGGAATCTCATAATGAAAAATGTCAAATATTCATGGTTGTTCACTGTTTGTATATGTATCTATTCCATTCTTCTGTCAGCGTCACAATCTTGGTGGCAAATGGTTCCTGAAGCATGTCTCATGGTGTTCTCTAAATGTTTAGGAAGAGACCAAGAATGTCAGTAATCAATAAGCATAAGAAAAGATGACTAGGAAAAAAATAAACACTTGAAAACAAAAACAGTGAAATGAGAAATGGGTTATTTTGATTAATTAAAGGAATGCCCTTCTCTTTAAAAAAAAAACAAAGCATAATTAGCAAAATAAATTTTATTTCTTACACCTCAAATCTGTGCTCAGCAAACCTCTATCTTTAAATTTCCTAAACGGTGAGTGTGTTTTTGAGAATAAATACACACACACATGAAGCATCAGTAAATAAATATAAACATATTTTTGCTTCTCTCATTTTTAGTTGATCTGTTTTTAGGGTCAGATTTGATGTGCTTTTCTTCAGGAAATAGCAGTGCGAAAAAAGAAAAGGAAATGCATCATAGAAGTAAGATAAGGAAGTTTAAAAAAAATCTGAAGTTTGGGGAAATAAATTTGATTTTAAAGCAATCTCAAAGCAGAAGGTACATGGTTTAAGAGGATCCCTAACTAAAAAGATATAGTCCTCGCTAGTATTTCATTTATTCCACTTTTTAACTTCAAGACTATTGTGCCAAAGACAGGAAAAGGCCTCTAGGAGAATAACAAATCTGTGATTTTAATGAGTCTTTTATCGTGTTCTGCAGCTTTCTGATCTATATTTTAATCATTTGTTTCTGATTATCAGAATGTGTAAATGCAATGCAAATATTTCGTCACATAACTGATTTTGTTTCTGACTAAGTAGGATAAACTATTTTTTGTTGTACATCATTCACATTTGTAAGAAAATGTCTCATTGAACATCTTTAGAGATTGGCATGCCACCGTTATTAACCACTATTTCATCTTTAAGTCAAAGAAAATGAAGCGAGATTGTGTGTTCTCAATTTGCAATCTACAAAGTGTGACTTTACTGTCTTAAGATTCCTGATCTGAGTAAGGGCCTTATAAATCTAAAATATGGATGTATCTCCCCCCTCCCCGCACTTTAGAGTTCATTGTATGGAAAAATACCATAAAGGTTGATCAAAAGATTTTGAAAATCCCTACCAATTGTTTGTCAGATGTTACAGTCTTCTGGTTAATTTCATTTGATTTACTTTGTTCTCTTGCTGATTATTGGCAGACTCAGTCTCTCTGTTTTCACAAAGAACTCATGAAGAGGACGATAGGGAAACCCACGTATGCTTTTGAAGCTAGGGACTATGTTGTAAGTTTACCTGTGACGCCAGGTCATGCGGTCACGGCACAGGCACTAACCCCTGTGACAGCAGCAAGACTGGGGACCCAGGTGCTCTCTGACCCAGACGCCAGGAGAAGCCTCCTCGTACCCACCCAACCGCAGGCTCCTTCATCCCGGAAAGTTGCGTGGAAAAAGGAGCCAAACTTGCCGATAACAAGCTTCCTAAAAATGTCAGTGGGCTGAGCTTGCGTTTCTCCCCTTCGCTTTGATTGGGACCGCTGTCTGAGCTGGTGTCACTGAGTATGATTTTACGGCAGAACCTCACCCCTAACACGCAGCTGGTCACGGGAGAATCACACTCTCGCAGACAGCCGTGTGTGGCTCCCTTACCCACATGCACATCTGAAACAGATGGGTCCGTAAAGGACAACCAAAAAAAAAATCAGCGAAGCCTGAGCAAGGTCACAGAGCGGTGAAATGACCTTCCGTGGACCTTAGATCACAGACACTTATATATTCATGTTCACTGTCCCCTTTCTCTGTACTTGAGGTTAGTACCTGTGACGGCCCGATAACACATGGATCCGCCGGCTCTGTGTGCCCTCATGTGTTATTGACACTCGTGGCTCCCCAGGCTCCATAATCGCTGCCTGAAACTGACAGCTTTTTAGTACTCCAGGTGTCGCGCAACGCACTTAATGCAGCCTTTCAAAGTATTCTCTTGGCAGGTGATTCAGTTTTTAATTTAAAAGGATCTAACTGGCTGGCTTGCAACTTAAGACCAAAACCCAGTTTATAGTCATTAAAAAGATTATACTGTAGACCTGATGGCACTTCTTGTAGATTATCCATCATCATCCACTTCAGAAAACTGGATTTGAGAATTCAATATTGCCTATTTCTGTTGGGATCGGTTCTCAATCCTAATAAATTATTTTTATTATGAAGTGGTAATAGTCCTGTGTTATTAGTCTTGATGTTAGAACTCTGTTTTTGGAATGGCTAAGAAAAAAATATATTACTTTAAAAATAAATAAATTTTTAAATATATATATATATATATATATATATTACTTTAAGTCATGGAAGTAGCCGAATAGACAGCAAGTTGAGTGCCAAGTTCAAATTAGCAATATTTACATGGTAATGTGTGAGAAAACATTTGTGTACGGTCATCTGCTTTGCAAGGAAGATATTTGCAAAGTTTTCTGCTGTGCACCAAAAGCGTTGTCTGTAAAAAACTCAAATTGTGATAAACAGATCTGTGCTAAAATTTACAGGAGGGCTCAAGGCATTATGTAGGTTGTCTGTCTGAGAGCTGTCACAAATATGATGATCTGTACCTTTTCTTCCCAAAATTTTGTCTTGCTATGCCTTTCCTTAAAAGTATTTTTCCCCCAGAGGGAAAATTTCTTTAAAAGCTTAATGCCTATTCACAATGAAGTATCAACTTTGAATTAATCTGAATAATAAGATTTTAAAAATCTAGTTAAGGAATTTTTAACACCCTATTCCTTCCCAATTTAAAACCAAAGGGCCCTGGGGACTTCCTGGTGGTCCAGTGGCTAAGACTCTGTTCCAGATGCAGGGGGCCGAGGTTCGATCCCTTGTCTGGGAACTAGATCCCACATGGGGCAACTAAGAGTTTGCTTGCTGAAACTAGAGATCCCGCATGCCACAACTAAGACTGGGTGCAGCCAAATAAATAAATACCTAAGTAAGTAAATAAATTCAAGGGGCACTTTCTCTGCTACTCTATCTCTAATGTATTTTTGGATCCCCCCGATTGCCTGAACTTTTAGGATTTACAACAGCCGAGTAAATATGCACCAAACTCTCAAAATACAGCTTTATTGCCAAAAAGCATGTCTCACCTATCACTGAAGAATCAATGTTTCTTTTCCTAATTTTGAGATCCAAAACCTTTTAATCTGGTTTTGGATCCAGTACAGTACAGTACTGGTACAGTTTTGCCAACCTCCAGGCCTAGCAGAATTGCAAGCTGCTGTGTCCTGGTAATTAACAGGAAATCCACAGCGGCGAGGAGTAAGTACCCCTCAGGAGTAAAGACAGTTGGCTATCTGTTTCCTAAAAGTCACTTGCAAGAGCAACTTCTGTTAACACCCCAGGTGCTATGCAGCCTCTGTGGGTGGGGCCCCCAGTTTGATAGAAAGCCCCAGAAGACATCTTCTGTATGGCAGGAAGTGCCTGCAGGACACAGGTGGGAGAGAGCATTCATCTCCAACCTGGTGCTGAGAGGCTTCCTGGTTCTTGCAGGTCAGGTTTCAGAGCATCTTCCAGTCCTTGGTTCCCATTTACTGATTTGAGACTTTGCCTTAGTACCTTTAGGAAATGCCAGTGTTTGGATTATTAGAGTCCCTTAAGATAAAAATATTACCGGTATGTTGTGGAATGCATTGGTTTCCCAGCTCTTTTAGTCTGTATGAAACTTTCCATTGGAAATTTGGTGAATAAAAGGCTCTGTGATCATTTCCATCTTTTATAATCATGATTTGTCACTGACTGCAAACTTGTATTAGTTTATACTCAGGCCGACGTGACCAGTCCAGAATGGTAAACAGAAGCTCTCCTTTCTTGCCTTTATACTTTGCTCTGGCAATGTGGCCGCTAAAGAAAGGCTTGGGTAGATTGGCCCCTCTTGGGAATTTTGGCACAGATCCGCTACAAGTCATGTTCACAAAGCACCAGGTTGAATTTACGTGTTATGTTAATTCAGCGGAACGGACCAAGTTCCTCTTCTTCTCATGTGTTGTTGTTTCTCTCTCTCTCTCTCTCTCTCTCTCTCTCTTTTCCCTGTTACCCCTTCGATTTTTACATGAAGCTTTCTCTCAAGCTGGTAAGCACAACTACTCTCTGCATGTCCTGAATCTAATCAGGTCTTTTTGTGCGTTTTGTGGGTGCTGGGCCATGTGCAACCTATCTTCAGAGTTAACTGTTGATGTGTGTTTCCCTTGTGTGCCTTTGTTGGTGTTTCCTTATTAGACCTCTGGAATACCAAGATCCAGAGTCTAACAGAGGTGATCATAATCTTTCCCCATTAAGAAAATTAACGCTTAACTCATGATTTGGTTTTCTTTACTACTGGAGTCTTAAGAGGATGACAGATGTTGATAAGCTTTATTTAAATATGGACATAAATATAAATATTAAATATGAGGAAGTTTATATATTGCATCATTCTAAATGAAAGCAAGTTTTATAGTTGAAAGTTGCTCCTCTCCAGGAGCCACAAAAGCAGATGAAAAACACTGGGGACCTGAGGGAGGCATGCAGGAATGATGCTGGGCTCAGACTCAGGTCTAAGGCACCTTCGAGAATTGAAGGTCATGAAACTTTTAAGTTGCTCCATAAATACATTGGTGCCTTGTGCATAGCTGATTCAAGAAATCAAAGACAATTTTATGGACAATGAAAAGAGCCTCCTAAGCCTTTCTAAAATGATTTCTTTAGTGTTTGGTGTTGTTTCTACTTTTAATTTCATAGCCCTAGTAAATAGTCAAACTAATCATTAAATCTATTAAAAGAAACTCTTAACCACATAACCCATACTGTCCTTCATATATGTGTAAGTTATATAGTAATCTCAAACACCACAGCTGAGAATATCCTGAAATCACAGACAGTGATGAACTGACAGTTCAACCAGGAATAACATCAGCATCTTATGCACTGTTATTGAGAATGTAGGACAGTATTTCATGCTTATCTTTGCATGTATGTACTTTTACGTGTGTTTGAGTACACATATAAAAGTATATACATAATTTTTTCAGCCTGACCCAGTATTTAACAACTGATCCAGCCCTAAAGAGAAAGAATTTTTTATTAAATGAAACATTTCTTAGAGGGTAAAATAAAATCCTGAGAAGAGTTCTCGATTAAAGTGTCTACAAGAAGGAAAGATCTAGATGTTTAAATGAACATCAGTATGAATTTGGGAGAAAGTGGATCAATTAACTGGGAATCTGTCAGATGCCAGGGCTTCTTTTTTGCCCTTTATTTGTTCTTTGCTGAGGTGCTGGCGGCCAAAGATAATATTATCAGACAGTCTTTCTGTTTGAAATATTGTTGCTTGATGCCCTCACTTTGAAGCTAATAAAGAAGTTACACAAAGACAGAGTGGGTATAAAAATTATAAATCTCAAGAAGCAGCTCATGTCAAGGGAGCAAGTGTTTGATTCTGGTAGCAGGTAAAACAAGATCTCCTTAGAGTCACAGCCATTGAAAATATACATACTTGCCTGCAGCCCCTCTTCCAAACCCTGGTAGGGCCAGTCTGTTTGGGGCCCCTCCAAAGTGTTCAGAAAATCTACTCCAACTCGAAGGCAGAAATAAAAATTCCTTCGTGGCAAAATAAATCATAGCTTAGAGTATTGTTTGAAAGAATTCAAGCTTCAAAAGGCAAATAGGACAAAATGAACTTTTGAAGGTACTGTCCAGAGACCTGAGTTTCTTTGGATCTAGAAGAACTGTTGACCTGAATCTCCCATGTAACTAAAATTTTTAAGTTAGTAGTTCCACAATTGCACTGGGCACATCAAGGGCTCAGCAGCCATGTGCAGCTGCCAGGTCGGACAGTGTGGACGTGTGAAAGCATTTCCATCATTGTAGAAAGGTCTTTGGTTCTCACAGCACATAGTGAGGCTCAGAGCATCTGAATGAATGCATATCGACCACTTACTAGGTTTCCTGACTTCTGAAGCAGTGCGTCTTACACTGTTTTGTCACATTCTAGCATTAAAACAAAAATGAAAATAAAATTTCCAGTTCCAGAAAACATGCTGATTTAAGTCAATTTAGCATGAGAAAAAACTATTGAGCTTTCGGGCTCAGTGACTGAGTTGAGAAAATTGGAGAGCAGTTGAGGTTTCGGGTATTATATGGAAAAGGAAAAACAAGTCTGCTTTATTATTATATTGAAGATTAGTTGGCTTCATCTTAGCTTTAGAAGCAAGTTGAACTTTCTTGGTTTGGCATTAGGGAATAATCACTTCTATTTTGCTTTCACTCAGATCTCGTCCCACTCAAACACATGCATGTGCACGCACAGACACACACACAGTCTTTGAGAATATTAGCTGAAAGGTCTGTGGTGGCCTTAGTGGTGAACTATTTGCTGAATCACAAACTTCCAACCCAGCAGCCTGGCATTTTCTAATAAGCAGCCTAGGAACTTCAGTCACAAGCCCCCGTGTAAGCTGCTTGGCAAACTCAAGCTGATTTTGCAATTACATTATCCAGGTCCCTTCTTTTCCATCTACTCCCAAGCAAACCCATCTTGTCTTTTTTTTAAAGGGATTCTAAAGCAAAATCTCTTTTCAAATTCCCTGGCTTATCCCTGGCTATTGAGCACATTTCTCTTTCTTTATGAAAATAGCCTCATTTAAGGAAATGACAAATAAGCGTGGGTAAAAGTCTGGCAACTCACGGTTGATATTTTCTACTTATAACACATACACAGAGGAAAGAGAGCAGTTGTTTTTGAAAGGGAATCAAGATATCAAAAATACTTCTTCCAAGACTTCCCTGGCGGTCCAGTGGTTAAGACTCTGCCTTCCAATGCAGCGGGCGTGGGTGCGATCCCTGGTTAGGGAACTAAGGTCCCACATGCCATGCAGTGCAGCAAAAAGCCAAGTGTACCTCTTCTGATGAGTTAGAAATAGCTGAGGCTGATTTCAGACATTATGGAAAGTTGGTTTTGAAACTGGGGGAATGGGGGCGGGGGTGATTCTCTGTGAATTCTCTTAGATGATCCTAAAGGTGACAAAAAAGAAGTGATGGGCCTTTTAGAGGAAGCAGAGGCAAGGAGAGTGGATGGGAGCGGAGGGAGGGTTTTTTCCCTTAATTTCCTCTTCACCCACATTCTCGGAGGAACTAGATGTCCCATCTGTCACTTCACAGGGATGGAAACTTTTGGCCTCAGCCTGTGTGCAGAGACGGGAAGGAATACTCAAACGGGATGGGGGTGGGGGTGGGGTAAGGAAAAGTGCCATCGACATGGAACAGTTGATGGGGGCACTTACCAGTTTTTTTGTAGGAAGAAAACATAAGCCTAAAGCTTCAGTGTTGCCACCCACACTGACAGCTAAGTGCAGACTCAGTCTCCAGACTTGTTCCTCACTGATTCTCGCTGGGGTCAAAAGTCTATCTTCCCGTCTCAGGGCTCCCTTCCTTGTCGGAGGCAGTGGGCCGGCATGGAAAATGGTTTGCGGGGCCTTTGCAGTTTGCATGCACTGATTTTTGCATCTCAGCTGGGTGTTGTGGGAAAGAGCTTAATTTATTTCATGAAAGCACACGCAGACATCTGCATCGCCCTGGTGTCTGGGGAATCTCCCTGCAGGCTTCTCTCAGTGTCTTTTTTTCAAGGAGGCTTTCTGGCTCATTTCTGTTTGTATCTGCAGGGCGCGACACCAGAAGATTTCAGCAACCTCCCACCCGAACAGAGAAGGAAAAAGCTCCAACAGAAAGTCGATGAATTAAATAAAGAAATCCAAAAAGAAATGGATCAAAGGTAGAGTGGATCGAAACAACTTATTAAGAAATTCAAGTTCAGTTTGGAAAGATGGGAGGCCCTAAATTAGATTTTAATTTAGGTGATTATTTTAGCCATGTGTTTGGCCATAGCTAGTCTACTGGATATCTTTATTAAAGACAGAGAGGATTCCTGGGGACTTTGCTGGTAGCCCAGTGGCTAAGACTCTGTGCTTCCAATGCAGGGGGGCACAGGTTCAACCCCTGGTGGGGAAACTAAGATCACATATTCCCACATGCCACACCTCATGGCCAAAATAATAATTATGAAAATAAATAAAGACAGGGAGGATTGTTTTAACAAATAGGTATTATTCTAAGTTTGGGGAACAAAATGCATTATGGTTATCTCTCTCTCTTTTTTTCATATGTTCACTTACTTTAGTAACACTACATTTACCATGTTGTCACCATGGAATATAAAATCAGCTTAGATCAGAGAATTTCACAAGTACGGCAAAACATTCTGTGGTATACCAAAGTCTGTAAGATGTCTGAGCAAACCACCTTATTCATAAATCACCTTCCATTATAGGCAATTTATTCAGTTTAATAGTTATGATTTTTGTCGAGAAGATAAACATACTGCACAGGTTTAAAAGGCGTTTTTCATTTACCTTTGCATTAGCACTTAAAATAGACATTTCTGTTTCTGCTGTCGCTGGCATTCTACAGACCCTGGGGTTGCAAGGAGTCGGATGCGACTTGGCAACTGAGCAACAGCAAGTCAATATTTTGTAATAACCAATAAGGAAAAAGAGTCTGGAAAAAAAGTTAGATATGTATGTGTAACTGAATCACTTCGCTGTATACCTGAAACTAACACAACATTGTTAATCAACTATGCTGCTGCTGCTAAGTCACTTCAGTCGTGTCCGACTCTGGGCGACCCCATAGACGGCAGCCCACCAGACTCCCCCGTCTTGGGATTCTCCAGGCAAGAACACTGGAGTGGGTTGCCATTTCCTTCTCCAATGCATGAAAGTGAAAAGTGAAAGTGAAGTCGCTCAGTCGTGTCCGACTCTTAGTGACCCGATGGACTGCAGCCCACCAGGCTCTTCCATCCATGGGATTTTCCAGGCAAGAGTACTGGAGTGGGGTGCCATTGCCTTCTCCGTAATCAACTATACTTAATTTAAAAAGAGAAAAGCCACTTTATTGTCCTTCACTTTCTATATTCTCACTGAGGGAATTAAGTGAATCATTTATTAATGGAGATTTGAACTTAAAGGATAACTTGAGGGACTTCCCTGGTAGTCCAGTGGTTCAGACTCCAGACTTCCAATTCAGGGGCCATGGATTAAATCCCTGGTCAGGGAACTAAGATTCTACATGTTGTGTGGCATGAAGTAGGCCACATGGTATCCCTGCATAAATTCAGTGATGCTGAGTGAGTGAGTGAAAGTCGCTCAGTCATGTCCAACTTTTTGTGAGCCCATGGACTATGTGGCCCGTGGAATTCTCCAGGCCAGGATACTGGAGTGGATAACCTTTCCCTTCTCCAGGGGATCTTCCCAACCCAAGGATCAAACCCAGGTCTCCCACATTGCAGGCAGATTCTTTTCCAGCTGAGCTACCGGGGAAGCCCAAGAATACTGGAGTGGGTAGCCTATCCCTTCTCCAGTAGATCTTCCTGACCCAGGAATCGAACCAGGGTCTTCTGCATTGTAGGCAGATTCTTTACCAGCTGAGCTGCCAGGGAAGCCCAGTGATAGTGAAGCTGAGGTTACAATTTAGCTATTAAAAAAATAAATAAAGTTGGCAAGGCTGTCAGTTTAAATACATGCAAATGAAAAGTAGTTTTTTAATTTTTTTTTAATCCCTGGGAGAGCAACTCCTGAAAAATATATCACTATAAACCTTGTTACAGTATGTTAAAAAGAAGAACACATATAATGAACTTTGTTCTAGGTTTGAATTAAAAATATACTTTGTGAAATAAAAATTTTGTCTTTGTACTTTTTATAACATCTGGGACTAGATACAAAAGGCTTTATAAATCCATTATAAACCTCATGCTGTTTACTAAGTGAGCAGTTATATTTTGCACTGGAGTAGCAAGTTATGGGGTTTCCTTGGTGGCTCAGACAGTAAAGCGTCTGCCCACAATGCGGGAGACCCAGGTTCGATCCCTGGGTTGGGAAGATCCTCTGGAGAAGGAAATGGCAACCCACTCCAGTACTCTTGCCTAGAAAATTCTATGGATGTTATGACTGAGATATCTGAAATGCCACTTTATAGGTGACTGACAGACCCTCCCTAATTGTTTGATTTCATGGAGAAAAGTTTCTGTCACTTGGGTTGTGACCATGGTATGACATTTGAACCCCCAGAGCATCGCTTGCTAGTAATAAGGCAAATCACCTTCATCATTCACTTCACCTCTATTTATTGAGCATTTACTGTGTATAAGGGAATATTCTAGGCCTTGAGGATAAAGAATGAACAAAACATCAAAAACATCTGTTCTCATGCAACTTACATTTTAAGCAGGACAAACAGAAAATGAAAGGCTTTGCACAGAGGTGACATGAACTGGAAAAGGTTGGATTTTTGGTTTATTTTTGTTTAAAATAATCAATCCAAAAAGGCAAGATAGGAGAGAAAAAAATATATATTAAATAGGCAGGACAAATCAAAGGCACAAATTAGGGTGGAAGATTTAAAATACCAAGCACACTAGACACCCCAGTTCTAATCCGGTTCCACCTGTTTCATTTGCAAACCTTGGACAAGATTCTTAACCTCTTGGTAGTTCAGTTTCCTCACCATGAAAAGGGAGTTAATATGCCCATGTGAGGATTAAGTGTATCAGGGTACCTCAAGGGCTGAGGACAGTGCCTGGCATATTGTGTTTGTAAAATAAAATGAATCAGTATGTTAAATGTGAACAGACTACATGTTCCAATTAAAAGAGATTTTCAAACTGGACAAAAACCTAAAACTGGCACACCGCTTGTGTGCTGGTTACAAACGACACACCCAGCTCATTAGGCGCAGAAAGGTGGAGAGTAGAGAGTGGAAAATGACAGGCCATGCAGGTGTCAACTAGAAGGACGCTGGTGTGAGAAGACTGATTTTCAAGCCAAATAACCACCCCCCGCCCCCACACTATTCAGTTCAAAAGGATCAACTTCAGGGCTTGCCTGGCGGCTCAGTGGTAAAGAATCTGCCTGCCAATGCGGGAGACACGGGTTCGATCCCTGGTCCAGGAAGATCCCACATTCCATGGGGCAAGTACCCCGTGCACCCCAACTACTGAGCCCGTGCTCTAGAGCCCGTGCTTTGCAACAAGAGGAGCTACTGCAGTGAGAAGCCTGTGCACAATAACTAGAGAGTGGTCCCCACCCCCTCAACTAGAGAAAAGCCCACGCAACAGTGAAGACCCCGCTTTGTTGCTGTTGAGTCACTAAGTAGTGTCTGACTCTTTTGCAACTCCTTGGATGGCAGCACGACAGGCTCCTCTGTCCTCCACTGTCTCCCAGAGTTTGCGCAAATTCACGTCCATTGAGTTGATGATGCCATCCAACCATCTCCTCCTCAGTCGCCCCCTTCTCCTCCTGCCCTCAATCCTTCCTAGCATCAGGATCATCAGGTGGCGAAATTATTGGAGCTTCAGCTTCAGCATCAGTTCTTCCAATGAAGATTCAGGATTGATTTCCTTTAGGATTGACTGGCTTGATCTCTTTGCAGTCCAAGGGACTCTCAGGAATCTTCTGCAACACCACAATTCAAAAGCATCAGTTCTTCAGTGCTCAGCCTTCTATATGATCCAACTCTCACATGACTACTAGAAAAATCATAACTTTAACTATACGGACCTTTGTTGGCAAAGTGATGTCTCTGCTTTTTAATATGCTGTCTAGGTTTGTCATAGCTTTCCTTCCAGGGAGTAAGCATCTTTTAATTTCATGGCTGCAGTCACCATCCACAGTGATTCTGGAGCCCAAGAAAATAAAGTCTGTCACTGCTTCCACTTTTTTCCCTTCTATTTGCCATGAAGTGATGCGACCCTCTGCCATGAGCTTAGTTTTTTTAATGTTGAGTTTTGAATCAGCTTTTTCACTCTCCTCTTTCCCCCAATTGCAGTTGGTTTTGAATAAAATCTGTTTTTACTGCTTTAAAAAAAGAAAGAATGTAGCTCTAAGAAACACATAGATTAAAGAAGAAATCATCATAGATATTAGAAAATATGTGAAACAGAACTTTACCTTAACACACATTCTCCACCTACATTTGGGGATGTCATTAAAGCCAATGCTTATAAAGGGAAATTGACAGCTTTCAATACATATTAGAAACAAATTGAAGCAAAGAAGACAGAAAAAAGGAAATAAATAATAAAGGAAAGGGTACCAATTAGTGAAATACAACCACATATTCAACAGAGAGAATGAACAAATCCAAAAGTTGGTTCCTTGAAAAGATTAATAAAAATGATAAGCTTCTGGAGAGATCTGGAGGAGAGGAATGAGAGATAATGACTTTAAACACCTCTTCTGAGAAGTTTTACTGAGAAATAGGGCAGTAGTTGGAGGAATAGGTCATGAAGTCAAGAGACGACTTGTGAACCTGTGGGTGACTGTACAGTTTGCCCCACATCTCTTGCGTCTACTACATTGGCAGATAGACTCTTTACCACCGCACTCCCTGGGAAGGTCACAGACTTGTTGAGCATCTCTTGTGTGCTAGGTGTGGTCTGGCCGCTGGGGGTGTATCATGTTAGCAAAAGGGCTTGAGCCCAAAGAGCTTCTCAGAGAGCCGCTCTTCTAGGAGGAAGAGACAAACAATAAGCAATGAGCATAATAACAAGACATGTAATGTTAGGAAGTAATATATGCAGTGGAAATAAAAGAAAGTAGAGTGATGGGACTTCCCCTGTGGTTCACTGGTTAAGACTCTGAGCTTCCAGTGTTTGGGACCCAGGTTCAATCCGTGGTCAAGTCAGCAAGATCAAACCAGTCAATCCTAAAGGAAATCAACCCTGAGTGTTCATTGGAAGGACTGATGCTGCAGCTGGAGCTCCAATACTTTGCCACCTGATGCAAAGAGCCAACTCATTGGAAAAGACCCTGATGCTGGGAAAGATTGAGGGCAAAAGGAGAAGCGGGCAGCAGAGGATGAAATGGTTAGATATAATCACCAATTCGATGGACATGAGTTTGAGCAAACTCTGGGAGATGGTGAAGGACAGGGAAGCTTGGCATGCTGCAGTCCATCAGGTTGCAGAGAGTCAGACACCCCTTGGCAACTGAACAACAAGGGAAATAAGATTCCACATGGCACACATGGCCAATATATACATATATATATAAAAGATAGAACAGGGTATGTGGACTGGGAGGGCAAGTGGGTAGATAGCTCCTATAGAGAACAGATGGTTCATTGGTGCCCATCAATGGGCAGCAGGATGTATGGGCTCAGAGGCGAGCAGGCAGGTGGAGGGGTGGTGAAGACATAGAAATTCTCTTCCAGTTATTTCTATATTTTTGGTTAAGCTATTTCCCATGACTCGCAATGCAGTTGGTGTCATTGGTCTTGTGTTGGGTGATTGGTGTAGAGTTTCTTTTGCTGAAGTTCAGGAAAGTTGTTCACCCCACCTCCCCAGGCCCCTGCCTGGCAGGGAGTCATTTGCTCTAAATTTAACACGGCATTAACTTGACCACATTCTGCCCCTTCTCTTTTTCAGAGATGCCATCACAAAAATGAAAGATGTCTACCTAAAGAATCCACAGATGGGAGACCCTGGCAGTTTGGATCACAAATTAGCAGAAGTCAGCCAAAATATAGAAAAACTGAGACTAGAGGCCCAGAAGTTTGAGGTAGGAAAAAGCTGTTGTGGAAAAGCTTTGTTGGAAAAAAAAAAAAGACAGAAGTAGGTGTGGGGTCATGGGATGCATGAGGTTGTAGAGCGCCAGCATTTCTTCCCCTGTGAGGGATGCCGCTGGACAAGTCAGGTGTTTCATGAGTTATGATGAAAGGAAAAAGACACTCATCCATTTGGTGTTCTGCTTTTCAGCATATCCTGTGTTAATTGTGTCCCTTAAAGGAGACACTGTTTAAGGTTATAGTTACATACGGGTGTTTTTTTGTGTTTTTTTTTCATTTAAGTGTTTCACTTAAATTCACCCAAGTTGTTTCGTTTCATTTTGTGTTGACAGTGGATATAATTGGGAGTATACAGTTGTCTATCATCTCAGTGAATCAAAAAGACAATTTTAAGAAAGCCATTCATATTTGTAATTGTCTTGCAGTGTCTTTGTCTGGCTTTGGTATCAGTGTAAACATTTTCAAAACATATTCTGGATGCAAATTCCTTTTCAGATCTATGATTTGCAGATTTTTTTTTCCATTCTGTGTATTGTTTTTCTACTCTCTTCAAGATGTCCTTTGAAGCATAAAAGTTTTTTTCTTTTTGACCATGCCACACATCTTTCAGGATTTTGGTTCCCTGACCAGGGATTGAACTTGGGCCCCGGCTGTTGAAGCACTGAGTGCTAACCACTGGACTGCCAGGGAACTCCCAAACCATTTTAAATTTGATGAAGTTAATATTAATGATGAAAGGAAATTTCATCCTAATTTATCAATTTTTTTTTCTCTGTATCACTTGTGCTTTTGGTGGCATAAACTAAGCACCTAATCAAGATCACAAACCTTTATGCTTATGTTTTGTTCGAAATTTTGTAGTTTTCACTTTTATATTGGCTCATTTTGAGTTAATTTTTATATATGGTTAAAAGTAGAGGTCCAGATTCATTGTTTTTTAGTTCTCCCAGCACCATTTGTTGAAAAGAACTTTTCTCTCCTTGAACTGTCTTGGCACCTCTGTTACAAGCCAATTAATCATAAATACAAGGTTTTATTTCTAGGTTGTTGGGGGGAAACCATTGAAATATGTTATTGTTGTTGCAAAAGACCCATTATCAAAAGATGAAAACCAGTAGAAAACACACATGAGACTTGAAGAAGAAACACACATAATGAATCGTTTAAGCTGTGAACAAAAGTCTTCTCCCCCCAGCCCCAAAATGTAAAGACTAGAAAAATAGATTAGTAACTGATCATTCTGAACAAAATAGATTATTTATAGCCATGAAAAATCAAATATGGCTTTTTTCCATTCTTTCTAGAATCTGTCAATAAGTTATTATTGGTTGAGATTTTAGAACCTAGAAATGTCCTTTTCTGGTCATTTGGATTCTTTTGCCATTTTTACACTATTTCAAAGGTTGCTGAAGAAAATTTGAACTACTTTGATTTCCTGTGTACAAGTTTTCTTCACTATTAAAAAAAAAATTACACTCCTAAGGGGGAAAAAAAAGGGAAGTGTGGCTTTTAAACTGAGTCACTGCTTAAGTGTGGCAGGACCCTCATGGTTCCCAGTGTGACGTCATGGTCACAGAATTTTTGGAACCAGGGGGAACTAGAAGCGACTTATCAGAAGTCATACAGCTGCTTAAAAAGCCCGAGAGTCTTGGAGACTTGGCTAGTGGTCCAATGGCAGAGACTCCAATGCAGGGATTCAGACGTGGGTTTGATCTCTGGTCTGGGAACTAAGATCTCATATTGTTGTTGTTGTTGTTTAGTCACTCAGTTGTGTCTGACTCTTTTGTGATCCTGTGGACCATAGCCCACCAGGCTCCTCTGTCCATTGAGTTTCCCAGGCAGGAATACTGGAGTGGGTTGCCATGCCCTCCTCCAGGGGATCTTCCCCACTCAGGGATCGAACCCGTGTCTCCTGCATTGGCAGGCAGATGCCTTACTGCTGAGCTGCTAGGGAAGCCCTAAGATCCCACGTGCCGCGCAATAAAGCCCGAGAGTTTAAGACAGGCCGGTGTCCTTCTGTCACTGTATGAGCAATGGCTGCTTGCACGTCTCCAGCTTTGCCTTCACGTATGTTTATACAGTCATGGCAAACAGGCTGGCGGCTCCTCACCCCCGCCACGTGGTCCTTCTCCAGCCGGCTTCAGTGACCAGCCAGCAGCCCAGATTTGGGGCCTGAACCCTGCTTGGTCAGGCCCTCAGCTGAGCTCAGACCAGAGTCTTTCCTGATTTCTGTTTGCAGGCCTGGCTGGCCGAGGTCGAAGGCCGACTCCCAGCCCGCAGCGACCAGGCCCGTCGGCAGAGTGGGATGTACGAGACGCAGAACGCCCCCTCGGTCAACAACTGCGCGCAGGATCGGGAGAGGTACAGTATGTGTACAGCGCCTGCTTGGGTTTTTTTCTTGGCTGTGTATTTACTGCCCAGTTCTGGAATCAGAGACGAGCACGAGGTCCTTGTTAGGTCCCATGCGTCTGTGATGACCAGCCTGTGTCTTCCCACAGTGCGGCTGTCTGACGCCCCGTGGATGGTGCTGGAGCCTGTGGGGCGCGGGGGCTCCCCGGGTACAACGCTCCGGAGTCGCAGCACTTGGCCCTCACGGGGGCTGCCCTCGGGCCCTCGCTGGGGCCAGTTGCTATAGTTGCTGTGTGCTTTGCTTTCTTGAGCAGCCCCGATGGCAGTTACACAGAGGAGCAGAGTCAGGAGAGTGAGGTCAAAGTGCTGGCCACAGACTTCGACGACGAATTTGACGACGAGGAGCCCCTCCCTGCCATAGGGACATGTAAAGCCCTCTACACGTTTGAAGGTAACACCGACTGTCGGCGTCCCTCTTCTCTTTCTGTGGTCAGACTTTCTTTTGAAGCCTTCAGAACCTTCCTCTCAGGACTCTTTCGTTCTGCTCGTTGTATCTGTGATTCTGATTTCTTTCTGGTTGATGGCTGTACATTTTGCCTTTGGGTCCGGACTACTGACCAACTTTCGGTGAGCTTAATCTCAGCAGATGGTATGGAATAATGATTACTTCATCCACGCCTTCAATACTTATGGAGCTCCTGTCTTGCAAAGACCCCTGAAAGGGTGGGAGGCAGGTGGCATGGTCTGGCATCCGCCCTGGGAGGAAATAAAGCAGACACACATAGACGAGGGTTCTGCAGGAGAGAGGGACGGAGTGATGGGGGGGAGTCCACACGAGGATATGGTCCCTTGCCTGAGGGGATTTATTTATTTTTATTCTTGGCTGTGCTGGGTCTTCATAGCTGCTCACAGCCTTACTCTAGTTGCGGCGAGCGGGGGCTCCTCTCTCGTTGCGGTGCAAGGGCTTCTCGCTGCAGTGGCATCTCTTGTGGGGCACTGGTTCTAGAGGCACGAGCTTCAGCAGTTGCGGCTCTTGGGCTCTAGAGCACAGGCTCAGTAGTTGTGGCGTACAAGCCTAGCCCCTCTGTGGCATGTGAAATCTTCCCGGACTAGGGATCCAACCCGTGTCCCCTGCATTGGCAGGTGGATTCTTATCCGCTGAACTGTCCATGCTGCAGGGAGTCAGAGGCACTGCCCAGCATGGAGCAGGAAAGGCATGGGGTTTGTGTGCCTGGAGCTCAGGTGTCTTAGGGGCAATAGTGGAATATAAGACGAGGAGGGGGCTGGGGCCAGTGTGGAGGACGGGTAAGAGAAACACTTGGCTCTTATCTGGCAAACATCAGGCCCTTCAGAAGGTATCTGAGCAGGTTGTTGACACAAGCAGAGCTGTACCTCAGATGTTTATTGTCATCATATGTGTGATCAGTTAGAAGACAGGGCAAATGCTTAGGAAGTCTAACCTCATGGTTCCCAAACTGATGAGCCTTGAAACAGCGTCCTGCGGGATGCTGGTTAGGATGCTGCGAAAGAAGCAATCAGAGCTAAGATCATTTTCAGAAACCTTGGGATAAGTGAACTTCTTTGCTGTAAGACTTTTTTTCTTTTATCCTTGCCTCTTTGACTCTCAGGATCTGAGTTCTCCGATCAGCGATCAAACCCATGCCCGCTGCAGTGGAAGTGCAGAGTCCTAACCACTGGACTGCCAGGAAATCCCCTTTACTGTAGGACTTTCAGAGCCTTTGATAAACTAAACATTCATTGTGACATAACAAAGAAGAGAAGCCCCAGGTTCAGTGCTCCCAATGTAACTTCAGGTCCACACCATCCCTCTCCCCCTGCGTCCACAGATACCACTATTAACAGCCCCCTAAGCAGTCTGCCTTTCAGGACACTGCTTGGGCAGTGGTAACTAGTCTTTTGAAATTACCTTAGTGAATGGTGTTGGGGGTCTTGATTAGGAGACGGATGGATGCAGAGCTGCTGCTGCCAATAAAACGCTCAGATGCGCGGCTGATTGGAAGTTGGAAACAAAGTGGGGAGGAATCCACAGCTGATCCCTGAAGCTGCGTTCCTGGGATGATGGAGATGTCCACTGAGATGGGAAAGTGGGAGGAGGATCTAGTTTGGGAGGCAAAACAGTGAGTCCAGATTCACCCCAATTGTGTCCCAGGTGCCCAGGCCCCATCAGGGTGGAAATGGGCTTCAGAGAGAAGGCATGGTGGCACCTTAGCCTCAGATAAGAACCAGAATGGGAGAAAGAAAAGTGGGGGTGCTGTGTAAAGAGGTGTCATTGATGCCAAAGGAACGCCTTCAGGGGAGGGTAGAGAAGAGGACCTAAGATTTCCTCTGGGGGAGATAACTCCTGTTCTGGGAGGCAGGAGACAGAGGGCTCCCACAGGGAATTAGAGAAGGGTCCTAGAGATGCAGGGTGAGGACCTGGCAGCTTCTGGATGGGAGGAGAGTCTTTTCTCCAGTTGTCTCACTGCAAGACTCGCCGTCTGCTCCAAACCTGGATTTGACAAGAAACCTAAACTACTCTGACTTTGCTTTTTCAGGTCAGAATGAAGGAACCATTTCAGTAGTTGAAGGAGAGACACTGTACGTAATAGAGGAAGACAAGGGTGACGGGTGGACCCGAATTCGGAGAAATGAAGATGAAGAGGGTTATGTTCCCACTTCCTACGTCGAAGTCTATTTGGACAAAAATGCCAAAGGTGCTAAGACTTATATTTAATACAACTTAAAAAAAAAACCCAAAACTTTAAAATTGGAGTTGTTTCTCCCCACAATCATGACTGTTACAGGCAGTTCTTCAAAAGACTGGATGGGGAGAATCACCGTGCGTGTTTCTTTTAGGCACAAAGTGGATATTCAGGTATCTTAGACCTGAATTTCCTGGGCTGGTTTTGATGATAATCCAGTGTCACTTGTTCATTACATTTTCCATGGAAAGCTGCCAACTGCCAATTTACAACTGTGTCCTTTGAAATCTGATAAACATTTCTTCTTGGGGCAGCAACTGTAGATAACCAAAAAGTTGCCTTCTAGCTTCTGATTCGTATTTCTGAATCTAAAAGCCCATGCGCGTCCTAGGGGTGCAGAAGACTTCAGCTCTCATTAATATCTAGTATCTGCCAGAAAGTGAACCACATTAGAATGTTACATTTTGTAACTTCATAAACTGAACTGTGCTAGTTTGTTAAGTTTTACAGTCATTCATTTTGGAGGAAGTCATCAATAAAGAATAGCGTAAGTAAAGAATGATGTTGGTACCACAAGTGTGTATATTTCCCTAAACATGTTTAAGATCATTGTTAGAGCACCGTGTTATCTGGTTATGTCAACATGATCCTAAACAACCAATTGGATTATGGAAAACTTTGGTCTTTCAACCAGTTGATTTTCACATATGACTACTGATCTGTCTTTTGCCAGTTGACAGAGTTGATCAGATGTGTTAGAGCTGTTTAGATATATTACGTAAAAATAACTCTCCTCATTCTGTTCTGTTGGAGGTTTTTTGTGCCCAGGTGGGGCTGTGAATAGACCCTTGTAAGCAACACACAGAACCCAGCACATCACTTTTTAAGGTTCTTTTGGTTTGTGTTTTAATCATTGGCATCATTAAGACCCAAAGTGTATATTTACTGAAAATCATTTTAGAACTTCTAGATCCTTTTATGTAATAACCATAAAGTGGTTAATTATATAATAAAGCATTTCACCATCTTAAAGGAATCTGGGTCACATGGGGATTTGCATTTTTAAATCAGCAGGCTAGGTAGTGAAACGGGACATGCCCAGTGGTTGTGCTCATGTCTAGAGTCTTGCCTGAGATCACAAGAGAACCAGCTAAAAATGAGTCAGACTAAAGGTATAGGATTGAGATTCTCTTTTTCTTTGGCTTTGAAAATTATTTATTCATGTCCTTCCTACTTTTGAATAGGAAATCAGCTCCTTGCTTCTACAGTGGACTCCTTTTAGAAAGTCAGGTCAATTTAAAGTTGATTTTAAAACTGACAGCAATGCGTTATGGGGTTTAGGACCTGGCAGGAGTTATGGGTGCCTGTGGCAGATTCTAGAAGAAAGTTTTTTTACATTTCCCAGGGCCCACTCCATTATTCTTGCCTGGAGAATCCCCGTGGACAAAGGAGCCTGGCGACTGTGGTCCATGGGATCGCAGAGTCAGGCACGACTGTGCGGCTAACACCTTAAGGGCCACCAAAATGGAATGGAGTAACCTTTACCCAATGACTGCCTGATTTTTAAAACACTTTTCATTTTTAAATAATCACAGATTGTCAGGAAGTTGCAAAGACAGTAGAGAGATCCCCTTTATCCAGCTTCCCCAAGTGGTTACATCTGACATAATTGTGATCCAGTATCAAAAACAGGAAACTGACACTGGCCAGCCTGATTTTGTTTTTTTAGTATAATTTTGTCATTTAAATTTCTTTTGCATTATTATACCTTTGCTGCCATAATACCAATAAAGCCACCCATCCTGACCCCAGATCTCTGAGGAGAATCATTTCATCCATACCGCAGCAAAGAAAATCAGTTGGCCCTTAACCTATGGGGATTTCATGAACAGTAGGTGGTCACAGCCTTGGGCGTGTAACCAAGTGAATACCTAAGATGTTAAAACCCAGGATGAACTCATTTCCAGACTCTGAAGTATTGGAGAAAACAAACTAGGCACTGGAAAAAAAGTCTTAAAATGAGGCAAGGCAATATTAGGCGTTTTAAAGCCTGACTTGAAAAGTATGGCATGCCATGAAGTCGGTTGATTTTTGATTTATTTGTTTGTTCGTTTTGCTTTTATTCCCCTCCTCTTTAGAGCTGTGCAAATCTAATTCAGGAAATAGCTCAACTGTCTTTTGGATATGGGTGGGGCGATTTGGGCACATAAATTATGATCATTATTTTAGCTTGTATGCCTCAGTACCTTCAACCAGATAAATCTGGGTCCTAGTGACTCAACGGCAGAAGATGCTTTTTTAGTTTCAGGTCCATCTAAGTCAGTGTGCAAAGGATTAGCAGAAGTCTTAAAACAATTCCCGAAAAGTCAGGAACTTCCATTTCCACCCCTAAAGCACACTTTGTGTTCTTCTAACAGTTAATCTGTCAAAAGTAGCAAACCTCAGCTTGCGTATAGTTTTCTCCTTTTATGTAGAGATGCACTTAGAAGCTAATAATGGATGTAGAATCTTTCCTTCCCCTACCTTGTTCATAAGTCTGTTCAGCCTGCCCCACAAACACTGCCCTCCCTTCAAGCCCATCCCAGCCAGGTGGGGCTGCTGCTTTCCGATGCCTGCGACTCAAGAGGAGTTGTCTTACTGTCAGTAATGCCGGCGCACTTTTGTGTGTGTGTGTGTGTCTACCAAGTGACTATTTAGTAACTGCCAAAATAGTTAGACTAGAGTGAGTTCCATTGGCCAACTGAATTGTGACTGTCCTCTTATGGTTCTGTTTTGTTCTGTTTTTTTTTTAATTGCTCTCTGTTAAATATGTCCATAACCTCCCCGCCCCCCAATCTATTTGTATATACTGCAATAGAAAAACTAAAAGGATTACTTGAATTCGTTGTTTTAACGTTTTACTCTTTTATTTGTTTGTTTTATTGGTGATTCTGCTGCCTAATGACCTTTTTGTTTTTGTAACCGCTGGGGAAGCCGGAAGGACGGTTACACTGGTAGCTAGGTCCCCTGCCGGCTGATCCGCACTTGAGTTTATTGTAGACACTTGGGTTCTGAGTAAGTTTTGTTTGAATACGGCCAACATGACTGTTTCCTCTCTCCTCCTTATCCTCCGAGAAAAGAATCTGTGACCTTGTAGTTGTACCTTCCTTTGTATCTGCCTCTCTAATAAACGTTATATTTTTCTCAGTGTTGTGTATTTTAAATGATTTTTCACCTCTCCGAGAAATTCTGTGTAATCCAAGCATTTAACCCTCTCGTCTTCAATAATGGGGAGATTTCTAGCCAAATGCTTTTTTAAAAAAAGAAAAACTCTGCCCTTTCCCCCTTGTTAAATGATGACACTTTCTCTATGTCTCACCCTGTTTGCACCTATGGGCTTCGGGAGTCTGTCTCTTGTTTCTCTTCTGTCCCCCAGATGAAGAACTTTCACTGTTTATTGCCAAGCAGTAGGTTTTCCTTTTCTCCAAAGATGCTGCCTTTTACTGCCAAGGAACCCAGAGTGTCTGTCACAGAGAGAACCGGGTCCTTGGGCTCCTGACATCTTTCTGGGAAGCTGGTTTCTTTCTTTGTCTCAGAACTTGATTGATGGGAAAGATGAGTTGGGGGCATGCAGGGGTGCACCATCTGCTGGGTGCTTTCTCTTACCCCTGAAGGAAAGGCTAGCTGCTCTGACTGCAGATAAAACCGTGAAAGTTCTTATCTCAGACGTGCCCTGCAGTAACCAAGTGCTCTAAAAATGCCCCCTCCCCTCACCCTCCCCAGGGCGGAGCAGTCTGCAAGAAAAGCAGAATGCCCGCCCCTGACCTGCCAGCCCTCCACTCTAACTGCCTTTTTCTTTCTCTGTCTTTTGTGTTGTAGATTGCTAAAGGTGGTTCCGGGAGCCCGAGCCTCGGGGAGCCTTCCCAGGAGAAACCCTTCGGTCTGCCTGTCTCCACAGGCCTGGGCACCTGCGAACGCCCTGGGCCTGGGCTGCTGTGTGGCCCTGGGCCCCTCAGCCTGAAGTTGACATCCATCCCCACCTGCAGCTGCTCGCTTTCTTCTTTTCTTTCCTTTTTACAGCATGTTCCTCGGAGCCCGGCTCCGCCCTGGCCCAGTCTGGCCGCCTCTTGGCAGGGGGAGGGCTGTCCCTGTCCCACGACCTCGGTCCACTTGGCGCAAACCCGGCCCGTCCACGATTCACACTGTGCCTTTCCGTGAAAACTTTGCCACTGGTCTCCCGGCGAGACGAACCGAATCTGGGCGAGGAGGGTCAGGCCTGCGCCCGGTGGACTGGGTGCCCAAAAGTCACTGATGTGTCCCTTACGTTAGAAAATACTCATCTTTTCCCATGTCCGTTGGGTATTCGGTGGTCCTTTCCTGAGTATGGGCCCTCCCCAGGTACTAAACAATCAGCCCTTGAAATGTTTCACGGCCTGAGTGTCCGTGGTGGACACACACACACACACACACACACACATTTTTGTTTGCTGTCCTGTCTTCAGTGGCCTAGAAAAGTCCACACCGGAAGTCAAATTCCAGCTCTTGGGCCACTCCCGCTGTCTTGCCTGTGTCCCCTCCCTTTTCATGGGGTCGAGGAAGGTCCCAGCCCACCTTCGCCCCGTTGGCCACCCATCAATGAGGACTGCGGGTCGTGAATGAGCGTCTCGCCTCAGCGTTAGCTCATGGCCAAAGGAAGCCTCCCCTTTCTGTGAATTCCAAGGTCCGTATCTTAGGACCCCAGTGCCGTCATCACCAAAGCCCCTGCGCTTCTCGTGGTCCATCAAGTGACCCTGTGGCTGCAGCTTCCACATTTTACCGTGTGCTCTTCAGGCCACGCAGATAATCGACTTTGTTTTTTGCGCTAAATCTCCTTCCTCTCATGGATCTTTGAGGAAGACACGAGGTCCCGTACCCCATGGGCCGCTCACGCCTTAGAGCAGTGTAGCTTCTCTACTTACCTGGTGCAGAAACAGTCAAGAGAAATCTTGGACTGTGGGTTTCTGTGAACAAGGATCCCCTCAGAAGCCCCAGGGTGCCATCAGGCATCTTTCCTGTTGCTCGGCTTTTGGTGACTAGACGGTCATCTTGGGCCTCCTCACTGCTTTGCCACACTTTTGAATCTACGACAAGGAAATCTGACAGGAGCTGAAGGGACCGGTACAGAGAGGAGACGGGTCCTGAGGGTTGGGCGTTGGCTCAGGGGTGGGAAAATGGTTCTTCTCAGCAAACCAGGGTTGACCACACAGCAGCCCCAAAGCTGCTCAGTCAACCTTTGGTGACAGGAAACCACGGGGGAACAAACGCCAAGGGTGAGCAGGGGAAGAGGAAGTGGCTTCAGGTTGGAGCAGGCGTTGGGCCCCTCTCACTCCTTCCTCCCCAGAGTGAGCCTCAGCAGCTGTGGGCGTCTGGGGGCCCCTCTGTTAAGCCCCATTGTCCCAGGCTCCTCAGTCTCACGAGAGGACTGTCTTGGCAGATGACGGCGAAGCCAGGATGCCAAAGGACAGGAAGAGTCTGGGCTTCACCCGCCTCCCTGCAAACCAGCAGGCGCGTAGTTCCTACATGCAGCCCCAGCGGCCCCACACAGGGTTGGTCCATCAGCCAGGTGACCAGGCATCTCCAGGAACTTCTGAATTTCACCAAGTCAAGCTGCCCACTCTCCACTCCACAAGGATGCTATTTTTTTTTTTTAAAGAAAAAAAAAAATTGGATTCTAGAGCCTCGGGAATGCATGTGCATTGCATCTTTCATATTAGGGGTCAGGGTAGATTAACTTCTTCCGAGTTAGGGGGAAAGGTAGAAGCTGCAGTAATTTGTTCTTTTAAATATCTGTTTAACCTAATATGGACTATGCTGGTATCCTCTTGTGTTCCCTGTGCCTTTCTTTTTCTCTATACCACCTGCGTCCAAAAAAGATGGATAAGAAGTGCTTTTCAATGTTCACCTTGCCGTTTGCTTCTCTGCCAGTCTGTGTGGCTACGGGGAAAGGGGAGTGCCGTACCAGCTGGGGCTTAGTCAAGGAAATAAGTTATTCTAGGCTAGTTGAGATTTATCATTTACTCTGGGAATCCTACTGTGAAATTGTCTGTTATTATGAGCAGTTCACATAGAGTAGAAACGTGGACTCTGCCATGTGCTTTTTCAGCCTTCCCTCATATCCACCGACCATCATTTCTCCACCGATGCTAGAATATTGTTATGCCGTAAGAATGACTCATTTTTAAAGAACGTGCTCTGAAAATAACTTAAAAACAGAAAGTGAGGAACTTGTCGTTTACCCAGTTTTTCCTTTGCAGGGCAGGAAAGAATAAAAAGGCACGGTAAGCTGGGATGGGATTTTCCTTTGGGCTTTTATCATGAACACCCTGAAGCTTTGGGGTTCGAGGAGTCTGTCTCCAGCGGTTAGTACAGAGGACTCAGTTCCTTTTGGTAACATCTATAATTGCTGGGGAAAAGTTTACTGAACATGAAAAGGTTATGTGGATGCTAAGTGTTTTTCCAGAAAACTCAATTTCATACTTCCTAATGGCTCTGCCTCCTGTGCTTATATCATCAAAAGAAAAAAAAAAAAAACTTTAAAAAGTGATCCAGAATTCTATTTTAACCTGGTGTCCAGCACCTTTAAACTTCATGGTTTATCAGTGTGTGTTGCACTAATTCTAAACTTTGGAGGCGTTTCAGTGTTGTAACGGTCCACTGCCATTGTAAAGGTTCTGGAATTGCCCGTTTGTCTCTAGAGATGGAATTAAACCAAATAAAGTGCTTCCATTGGAAGGCTTATATAGACCTTGTAACTATATGTTAATCCTCTAAATGTTAAATAAAAGTGTAACTTCTGGCACGGTATCACAGGACTGCTTTGTTGCGCAAAGAGGTGACCCCAGTCTTCGAAGCAATCAGAGTCCCCTGGGTGGAGGCCGAGCTCTGATCAGGTCATTGATTTAGGGTGTAAACTGGACACAAGTCCCGGCGCCATCTGCCTAGAGAGGGGCCTCAGGCCCAGCCAGCTTGAAATTCCACCCTGGCCACTAGGGAAAAGCTGTCAGAGACCTCAGTGATGCGGGGTTCAGGTTGACTCAGTGCAAAGATCTGGGGAGGCTCCTTCAGTCCAGGACATTTTGCATGCAAATTTGGCTAGCAGCTACACTGGGGTTTGGGGGACCCTACTGACTTGGGGGGGATGGAAGGAGCCGTGAAATTGCAGCAGGTTTGCATTTCATTTGTGGTCTGGTGTCACGAGTGCTCAAGCCCGTCCTCTTCTTGGCAGCTTGGCTGGAATAATCACTGGCTTGTGCGAAACTGAGGACAGCGTGCCGCGTTTAAGGGCGAGGGCCTTGTGCCTGCACCCGCCGGCCCTTTCCATATCCAGCGCCGACAGTCTCACCCCGGGTTTTGTCAGGGGGAGACTGGTTCATGCCCAGACCTCTTTGTTTCTTAAGGCTCTTTAGAGCCAAGTTAGGAAAACAGTTGGTGAGGGAGTGAAATATTAAGTGAGCAGGGCGCCCTTGCTAATGCCAAGTGCCACTCACTTGCTGAGGGGTGGGAGGGGAGGCCACCAATGAAAGGCCAGGCCTCTCTGTGGCCTCAGCTCCGCCTACAGACACATGTGACCGGCCTTTCAAGCAAGAGCTTCGCCAAGTTCTCAGCAAAGGCTGATGTCTTCTGTGCTTGGGAGGATGGTGTCAGAGAGCCAAGGCAGGGTTCTCGGGGAAGAGACGGGGTAGTCAAGAGAACAAGGCGGCCTATGACTGTCCTGCTGAGGCCCTCTGGTCCAGGTTGTTGGCAAAAGACTAGTATGGGAAGAATGTTGCCAGCACGTGCTTTCTGGACTTTTCTCATATTTGGGGAATAGTCTCTAACAGTCTGTAAGAGGCGGAATGGGTCCACCTGTCTCACTTAGAACCGCCCTCTCCACCCTAACCGCCCCCCTCCCCATCCCCGCACACACACACCCACCGCCCCCGCCGGCCGGACCGGCCAGCACCGAGGAGCTGAGAGCTGGGTCAGCCTGGGGCGCGTGTCGCCACCTCTCTGGCCTCCGGTTCCGGGGTAGTGGGGTGAGGACAGGAGGCCGGCAAGAAAGCACTCGGTCGACGCCAGAGCTGCAGCTTAGATGTCAGTTCTGACAGGGAGCTCACTCCAGTCTCCGTGATGGTGTTATTCTGATCACTGGGCAGAATTCAGGGCTGGGAGCTCTGTGACCTCACTCTGGGCGCGCAGGTCTGAAACACTGAACCGCCGGCCGCCCAGCTCGGCCCATCTTTACGCAGCTACTTGGTTCAAGCATTTGGGGAGATGACACTTGAAAACTTCTGCGACCCACCTCCCGCCCCTGTGGGGTCGGAAACCAGGGGCGGTGACGCAGTAGGAGCGGCGGACCGTTGGTTTCCTGGTGCGCTCCGGAAGGCAGCCTCGGTAGCGCAGAAAGCCCTGCCTCAGACCCGTCGGTCAGGCTACTCCGGTGTGTCCGGGAATCGCAGCATCCGCCCCGGCCAGGCCCCGCCCCTCTCCGTCCCTCCCCGCCCCCGCCCGCCGCTGCGCAGAGGCGCCCGCGCGACCCCTAGTGGCAGAGAAGCCGGCCTGCGAGGAGGGAAGGACGAGGGTCCCCAGGAGGGCGACCAGACCGGAAATGGAAGTGGGCAGAGGCAAGGAGGGGTGGTTCCAGGATGCCCTCCCTTTTAATCTTAAAGCGAAAGAGATCTCTGGATTGTGCGATCCACAGGACAGCAAAAAAAAAAGGATGCAGGTCCAGGTGTGAGTGAGGGAAGGAGCAGGAGGCCTGGATGGTGACCAGCAGCAGGCCCAGCCGCCGCGTGGGGGTTAACATCTCCGTGTGTCCTGGGCAATGAGGAAGTCCAGACCCGGGCTCTGCCCGCCTGGCCTAGAGTAGGCCTCTCCTTCTCCTCCCTGGCCTCTGTGGCCTTTTCTGAGAAGGGGAGGCATAAGCCTTGTTACCGCACCCTTTGAGACCCAGAATTAAAGTGAAAAGGCTGCAGAATGGCACTCTGCAGCCTCTTTGGGTCAGGAGTAATTTCTCCACAGCTGCACGTGTTTGGACCTAACACTATGTCTCTGTCCAGATGGTAGAAGGAGTGGTATTTACTTAAATGACCTCCCATGAGCTGGAGATGGGAGCAGAAACAGAACCGCCCCCAAGTGGCTTTGTCCTCAGAGCCTGGGGGCCAAAAGCTGCCGGAGGACACGGGGATTTCCTCATTTTCCTCTGTTGGGCCCCGGAAGCAACGGGGGAGGGGAGAATCCCCTGGGTGCTGCGCTTTCTGCCCTAGGAGCCTCATGACCTGCGTGGGTGTACATCCTCCCACCATGCCAGGCTGAGAGCCCTGCCTGCAGTGTTGGCTCTCCAGACGGCCCTCATCAGGGCTGCGTGCTTGTGTCTGGTCCAAAGAAGGCCTGGAGGCTGCATCAGAACATATACATCCTGGGGGCAGCCTTCCTGGACACGCTTTGTCCAAAATGCGGATGGCTCTCTTTAGGAGCTTTTCCCAAAGGCATTAATTTCTTCTGCATCTTGTGCCTTTGCTATGACCAACAAGCCTGTCAGCCGTGGACAGATACAGGTGTCGTAGGGAAGAGAGCCAGAGGGAGGTATGGTTCCGAAACCACCACTTCCTTCCCCGAGGCTCTCAGGGACTCAAAATGTGGTTGGGCAAGACTTACAGGATAATTTAGTTTGCATGGAATTCCGACTAGGAGAAAGGTAAGGAAGCTACACTTGGGGGATGGCTGCACCTTACCAATGTATTTTCTGATGAAGCTCTGTGAGCAGAAGCACAGACAGGTGGAAAGGCCTGCAGACACAGGTAGCAGTTGGTTTCCAGACTCCCTGGTCTGCCAGGTGGCTGTTGACTCTAAAAGGTGCTGCTGGAGCAAGGCCTGGGCCAGCCTGGAGGGACGAGCCAGGCCACAGGATGGCATGCGGGAGACAGAAGACAGAGGTGACTTCCTCTGCTGCCCAGCGCTGCCCATCTCCACTCGTCTGTGAACCAAGTTCACCAACCATACACTCCAGTTCTGCCTTCACACTCGATCTCAGTGTGGCCCAGCCTGGTATTTCAAGGGAAAACACAGAGGAAACATCTTAAGGCCAACTAGTACCTATATCTCCCTTTCATCCTCCTATGTGTGTGATAAGTCACTTCAGTCGTGTCCGACTCTTTGCAACCCTATAGGCCATAGCTCACCAGGCTCCTCTGTCCATGGGATTCCCCAGGCAAGAACACTGGAGTGGGTTGCCATGCCCTCCTCCAGGGGATCTTCCTGACCCAGAGATCAAACCTGCATCTCTAACATCTTCTGCACTGGCAGGTGGGTTCTTTACCTCGAGTGCCACCTGGGAAGCCCTGCCCTCCTGTGGTACCTACAACAAATGAATGTCTCCAAGCCTCCAGATGACTCAACCCTCCAAACAAAACTTTCCCCTTCCCATCTTCTATGTTAAACAGGAAAAGCCAGTCATCCTATCTGTACCGTGAGATTCCCCCATCCAAATGTGAGCAAAGCTAAAATGAGGCTCAGACACATACATGCAGACACACACACACACACAGCACTCACGTGGTCAAAGTATAAAGAAGAGTGACGCTGACTATAAAGAAAGCCAAGCGCCGAAGAATTGATGCTTTTGAACTGTGGTGTTGGAGAAGACTCTTGAGAGTCCCTTGGACTGCAAGATCAAACCAGTCAATCCTAAAGGAAATCAGTCCTGAATATTCCTTGGAAGGACTGATGCTGAAGCTGAAACTCCAATACTTTGGCCACCTGATGCAAAAAATGGACTCAATGGAAAAGACCCTGATGCTGGGCAAGATTGAAGGTGGGAGAAGGGGACGACAGAGGATGAGAGGTTGGATGGCATCACCGACTCAATGGACGGGTGTTTGAGTAAACTCCAGGAGTTGGTGATGGACAGGAACGTCTGGCATGCTGCAGTCCATGGGGTCGCAAAGAGTCGGACACGACTGAGTGACTGAACTGAACTAAGGCTGAAGGAAATACAGGAAAAAGCTTCGGCTGGGATGGGCTGGGGTGGGCTGGGGCAGGCGGGGGCGATCCGGAGGCTCTGGAGGGGCTTCAGTGGGACTGTAAGAGTCCTTCCTGGTGGCGGGTATCTGTTGCCTGTTTTATCACTCTGTCGAAGATGTTTCTGCAGATGCGCATCTGATGGGATTTTACAAGTAAATGTTTAAAGTCATACATAAAATCTCAGGCTCTCCTCTCCCCTCCATACCCCCAAAGCATAAACAAAACCAACCCAAACCACAGAGGCTATAAAACACTAGCGTCACTTAAGTGTCAGGGAGCCCCTGGTGCCAGACAGGAGCAACCACAATGCCATGACAGAGGTGGCAAGGTCAGCCGCTGGGGAGGAGACAGTACCCCCGCCCCAGGCACTGCAGCCCTCCAAGGGTCCAGCAAGAACCCCTGCTTCTTGATTGTTCCAAGGAGACTGTGGTGCAACCCCAGCAGGGGAAGAGGCCTGTGGGCTGTGGGGGCCTCAAACCCCGACCGCAACTGACCCCCCTTCTCTGGGGCCGGGATGCGTCCCAGGAAAGGAAGGACAGAGGCCAATGGGGGCTGAAAGCAGCGCAGTCTCCTCTTCCGCTCCTGCAGCCTCTTGGGGAGCCGTGCAGAGCCCTCCGCCACATCTGGTCACCTGTCACGTTCATCACGCTGGCTCCAAGGCCCTGCCCCACGGCAGCCGGGTTCCCTCACCCCTCCCAGGAACAGAATTAAGTGCGGCGGATGCAGAGACGCGGGCACGGACGGTGGGGCACGGCACGTGTTTACTGGGACGCTCTGAGCACACGCTGGACGCAGACAGGGGGCGAGTACAGCCTGCACAATGGAGTCCACGTCACAAAACGGGGCAGCGGGCGGCCACCGGGCTCTGCAGGGTGGGGTAGCTGCTGGCGGTGGTGCCAACTTCCCGAGGGCCGCGGCACATGTCCAGAGATTCCAGCAGCGGCCTCCTCTTTGATCTCGCTCTGCCTCAGTGGGGAAGGAACCAGATCCGGGTGCAATGAGATCACAGACGTGAACGACACACTATGACAGTTTCAGGGGCTCTGCCAGGGCCGCCAGCTGCCAAGTTCCGTGGGCATCTCTTCTACAGAGACCGAAGGCCACAGCAGTTGGGGGGCTTTGGTCCCAGGACCCCTTCCCCGTCCCTCATTCACTGCGGCCCCGATGAGATGGGCCTCTCCACCCGGCTCTTTCGTCCAGGGGCTTCTGTGTCACCTTGCGGTCTCGCTCAGCATCTGCAAGACACCCTCTGGGACCCGCCTGTGTGCGCTGGCCCAGGCCCTCCCCTCCCTGGGCCAGAGGCTCTGCGTGCTCAGTGTTGAGGAGAAACATCAGAGCCCCCTGCGGAAGCTGCATTAACTGCAGACACAGGAACGCAAGGGATTCCTGCTGCGCCACCTGGGGCCCTGGCAGGGGCAAGTGACCGGCGATGCCCGGGGCAGCGTGAGGCAGGGCGAGGCAGGGTGAGAGGGGAACAGCTGCCTCTGGAAAACGTCCCCACGGACAGAATGCCAAGCCTGCCCTCGCGTCCCAACTGCCAATGCATCCAGAGTTGTTAAGTCTACAGGAGAAACGCTGAGAGCAGGATTCTGGAGACTTCTGTGATGACTGGGAGGTGCGGGGTGAAGCGGGGCCTCGGCAGGAATTGGCACCAGGACCCGCGGTGGTGGCATCCTCAGGGCCAGGCGCGCGGCACCCTGCTCGGGGCTCTGACCCAGGGCCGGATCAGGCGCCAGTGGGCAATGCCTGAGGAGCAACAGCCCCTCCACAACCCCTGTCCTGAGGCCACGGCCCCCGACTTGAGGGCTCCAGGGACCACGGCTGGGCCTGAGCCAGCGAGAGGGCAGGTTCGGTGACAACGACACGACGGCAGGGACTCGAGTTAACGCTGCGGAGCCGTGGTCGTTTCAACAAGCCTGAAGGGGGTGTATTTCTGAGCTCGGCGTTACTCACTGTGAACCAAAACAACTCTCCTGCCTCCACACATCTGGGTTTCCAGAGCGGCCGGCCTCCCTTCCGGGGACAGACACACCCTCCACAGGGCGGAGGGCAAAGGCGGGGGCCTGTGGGGGCAGCTGGGTCATCCCTCGAGAAGGTCCTTCTGAGCAGCCTCAGGGCGGGGGTGTGTGTGCGCAGGGCGCTCCCCAACACTCGGGGGACACGGGAGGGTCTCTGCCCGAGGAGGAGGGGACTTACAGACTGGCCCACCGAGTCACAAGGCCCGGGTCTCGGCTTCGATCTTCTGTTCACCGTGCAAGCTCTCTGGGTCCGGGACCTGAGCCACGCTCTGGCGGATGGCGATCTCGGGGCCACCACCGTAGAGGTTGTTCAGGTACACCCAGGTCTCCTCGGAGATCTGCCCGTAGTCAGCTCCTACAGGGCCCGAGGGGCTGCCGCTCAGGCCGGGCTGGCCCTCGCTGGAGCCACTGCCTTGGCAGTCGGGGGGCGCTCTGGGAGCACCAGGCCCCAAGGAAGGGGGGCGGGGGAGGACAACCATTGGCTCCTGTGCCAAACTGTAAATGGGAATCTTGGGATTTTCCAGGGGAAAGTCCATCCCCTGAGGACCCCCGGAGGGCACATCTGTGGCTGCAGCCCCTCATTTCCTGGGGTTGGGGTCATGCAAAAAGGACAGGCAGGTGAGGCGGCAGAGGGGGCAGAGGGCGTGGGAAGGGAACAGAGGGGCTGGGGCACCCCACGCAGAGGCTAAGCACCTCGACCACTCTGCTCAAGTCCTGGGCCTGGACTTGGATGGATGTGGCAGCCTGACCTGGGGGGAAGGGGGCTCCTGGGAGGAGCTGGAAGCCAGGAGGTGGCAAGAGGGGGCCCCCAGGAGCCAGGAGGGACGCCTGGCCAGCTGGGAGGAGGTGGGGGCAGGGTGAGCCTCACCCTGCTTCAGCTGGACGTGGCCGCTCCCTTTGACCTGTGCGATCCTGCTGTTGTCAATGGGCCCCGGGGGCTCTGGAACAGACAGGGCTAGGGCTCAGGGCCTCTGGGCCTCTGGAGCGGTGCGCAGAAACCCAGTCCCCAGCCACCGGCAGCCTCCAACCCTCAGCAGATGAGACGCTCTCCAGGTGTGAGGTCACACCTGTGACCCTGGAGAGGTGGTGCTGGGCCCCAGGAGTGAGGGTCAAGGTCTTTTGGGGTGAGGGGCTCCGGGCTCCAAATGCTCATCTATATGAGTCTAAGATCTGGAGGCACTCGTGGTGTCCCTGGACCCGGCAGAGGGGAATTCTGAGGACACAGGCCCCAGTTTCAGACCCTAGCTTGGGGCAGGGGTGGTGGGGGGAAGACAGACGTCCAGTGTCAGCTGAGAGCTGAGAGCCTGGGCCCAAGATGGGGCTGCGACTCTGGAGCCGGGTTCCTGATCAATCGAAGCTGCTGTGGGGGGGGATGTGGATGGCAGTGAGGCACCCCTCCTTTCCCCGTGTCCCGTCCAGCGCTTGTGCTCGAAAGGGTGAAATGAACATCAGTGTTCAGAGGCTCCTGGCTCTGCTGATCCCGCTGGACTCCAAACCCTGGTCTGGGAGTCGAGGGTGGGACTCAAGGGGTGGGGAGAGAGCTGCGTGCAGGTGAGCGAGCCCGGGGTCTCAATGGATGGCCCTGCTGTCTCCACCTCTGTGACTGGAGAACACAGCGTCCAAGTCCTAAGAGTCTGAAGCCATCCAACAGCTTACATCTACTGTTTAGGACCATGGAGTCCCCAGAGGAAAGGGCCTGGCAGGGGGAGGGCAGTCAGCCCGGTCACCCGGGGGCAGAGGGGCAGGCGCAGAACAGGCAGCGTGAGACAGCTCCTCTCCTGCTGCGAGCGGACGGCAAGTGCTGGAAAGGGAGGCACCAAAACTTGCAGGGCGGGCTCAGACCCAGGCGCCCCAGCCGAAGCCCCCTGGGACACTCCCAGGAGGTGGACAAGCCCCAAGTCCCTGCAGTGTGGGGAGTGTGGGGCACGGGCCGGGTCCCCCTGACTCACCATTGTCCTTGCCCTTGACGAAGGCCTCCCACTCTCGGAACCACTGCATGCTGATACAGTAGATGACGCTGGGCGACTCCTCCGCCTGGAATGCCTTGTTCAGCTGGGCAGGACGGGGCGGAGGGGAGGGTCAGCGAGAACACCCAACCCCCCTTGGGCCCCGCCCCGGACTCTTACGAAACACCGGACACCCAGAGAAAGTTTCAAACCACCAGAGGAGTTCAAAGAAAAGAACCCTCTCCCCCATGCTCCCAGCACACCGATGACTGCGGCTAACACTTGGATGAGTCTCGTTAGTGACTTCGTAAAAACCCAGCTGAGATCGCAAGGCAGATGCTATTCCCCGCCACGCACTGAACAGAACCTGGTCCCCTGCTCACTCCTTAACTAGCCGGACGTATCATTTTTTAACAGCCATGAAGCCGGGTGTCTAACGTCCAACCCCGGACTAACAAATGATGGAGGGCCCCTCGGTCCCACCCCTGTGAGCAGCACCGGAGGTCTTGGTTCTCACACACCCCGGTGGACCCGCAGGAGTCTTTCTCCCAAACGGGATCATACTGGGTCCCATCTTGCAACTTGCTGTTTTCACTCAATGCGCCCTTCCATGTCAGTTCACAGAGCCCGGTGTTCCCCGGGGAACACCTGCCCACATCTGGGGGTCATTTTTGCTGTCACCGGCATCAAGTGGGCAGAGGTCAGGAAGTTGCTAAACATCCTACCACCGGCACAGTAAAGAACCATCCAGCCCCAAGCAGCAGCACCCATCCTTTAATAGCTGCGTGGAGTCCCCTGAGCGGAGGCACCTGAACTTACTAAACCTGACCCTTCCCTCTGGTGAACCCCTTCACCGTCTGGCCTGGCCTCTGGCCCTCTGGTCTCCTACAGAACAAGGCTCCCACCTGAGCCTGACTGCACTGGGCTCTTCTGTCCCAGCTGCCCGGCTCCCCCGCCCCACGCACCTTGATGAAGGTGTCGATCTCCACCCGCCTGCGCTTGGCCAGAGCCTCGATCTCCACCTGGCAGATGGAGCACACGTACAGATGGTTCACGGCGGGGCCGCCCCCAAACCTGCACCCGGGTGGGTGGTAGAGAGAGAGAGACAGGAGTCCTGAGGGGAGGGCCCCGCTGGGGGAGGCAACAGAACCTGCCAGAAAGTGAGGTCTCCTAGTGCGGCCCTGGCCCAGGCCTCGGGCTCCCTGAGCACCCGGCGCATGGCCTGTTGACTCAGCTCACCTTCCCCACTTGACTGGCGGGGCTGCCCCCACATCTGAGCGCCCGCCCCAGGGCAGGGGCGTCACAAATATGTGCTGCGTGCTCACGAGGACCATTCAACACTCTGGCTTCTTGTCCTGACCGCTGGGCAGCGGCCGCGGTGGCCAAAGCCCGCCTGACCTGATTCTAAAAGGACATCGAAGGAAGGCTGCAGGTCCTTCTGCAGGCAGGTGGGGGGCTTCTCTATCAGGCCTGGGGATGCTCTGGTGGGGTTCTGACCCATCCATCAGGGCACAGGCCACGCCTGACCTGCCAGTGGGTGGGGTCGAGCCACTCCAAGGAGTGGGGGCACCTGGGACTCCGCAGCCTCTCCCTCCCCATCTATGTGATCACCCCCATGATGGCACAGCCCGCCTGCCGCGTGCAGAGTGACCCGAGCCTGGGCAGGGGCTCTCCGCTCCATGAGAGATCCACAGGCTCTTCCGGGACTTGAACTGGAGGGCCCCAGGCAGCAGGTGTTTATGGCCCCAAGCGAGGCACAGGGTGGGGAGAGACATCTACCGGCCCGCCCTGCAGCCAGTAGCCCCACAAGAGACTGTGAGGGAACTGCATGCTCTCTTTGGCCAGGCTTCTGTCCCCTGTGCCTGGGAGAGTCTGGCTGGATGCCCCAGGCAGACACGGCTGCAAGGGGGAGCCCCCCCTGCCCCGCCACAAACCGCTTCCATGCTGCTCCGCTGCGGGGGTGAGGACAGCGTGGGATCAAGGAGGCACCCCTCCCTGGCCCTCCTCTTCTGCCCAGCCTGGACAGAAGAGGACACTGCGGGCGCCGTACCTGTTGTAGAGGTGCTCCCACACGTTCTGCGGCAGGATCACCACCAGGTCGTCGATGTAGTGATATTTGTTGGGCGGGATCCCTGCGGAGGAAGGCACGAGGGGGAGCTGGACCTACCAGCCCTACCCTGCCCCACCCCCGGCACAAAAAAGGCTGCCTCACCTCCGTGGGAGCAGAGGAACGTGTGGTTGGTGATGGGCCCTGGCTCGGCAAAGGTGTTGAACTTGTTGAGCCACTCCCGGGACACATAGAACCGCAGCAGGCTGGGCTCCCGCATGGCAGCCAGGGACACCACCTGCTGCCGCTCGCGCACAGCTTCCTCGCTGCTCTTCCTGGGGTGGGGTGGGACGAGGGAGGATCAGGAGTGGGAGCCATGCCCCGTGCAGGAAGCCCCACATTTCAGGCCCCTTCGCACCCCTCTACATCTCAGCACCCTCTGCATCTCAGCACCCCTCCATATCTCAGGACCCTCCTCATCTCAGCACCCTCCATGTCTCAGCATCCCTCCTGCATCTCAGCACCCTTCCCTATCTCAGCACCCCTCATCTCAGCAGCCTCCTCATTTCAGCACCCTCGGCATCTCATGGGCACCACCACCTCTGCCAGAGTTCCAGCGTCATCACCTCCCACTAGGACCACTGCAGAAAACCCAACTCAACTACGTGGGCTTCCTGCTTTCCCCACAGCAGCCAGAGCAACAGGCATTTCTAAAACCCCCAATCCTCACTCCTCCCTGGCCTAAAGCCCTCGCAAGCTCCCCGCCTGCACCCGGCTGAAGTCCTGTGGAGGTGGTGCTAGGCCCGCAGGTTGCTGGGCAGGGCCCCGCACGCTGCCTGAGCCGCACCTGTAGAAGAGCACGTAGGCCTCCGCGTTCTGCACCACTGTCTCGTGGACCTCGGTGACGTACTGGTCGTCGAACTCATACCACTGCCCGTTGATCACGTTCTGGCAGTAGGCGATATAGTGGCCACCTGCGGGGGAGACTCAGGCCGTGACGGAGCCGCCGGGGGATGGGGCGGGGTCGGGGCAGGGGCGGGTGAGGGGCGGGCGCAGACTCACTGCCTGCCGTGCCATGGTGGCAGATGACCGAGAGAAGGTCATAGGTGGTGATCTGGGACGTGCACTCCTTGGCGAGGAAGGGGCGCAGGTCAAGCCCCTCGAGGGGGAAGGACACGTGGCTGCTGATCTTGAAAGAGTACATGACCTCGTGCCTAAAGCGCTTCAGGTGAATGCACAGGATCTGAGGTTGCGGGGGAGAGGTGCCAGTCATTCATGGGCTGGCCAGGGCCCCATGACCCTGGGCACCTGATGGAGGCCTCGAGTCAGGGCTCCGGGACCTCTCCCCCCGGCCCCGCCCAGCCCACTGCGTGACCCACTCAGGCCCCGCTCCCCAGGTCACTACAAGTAAGTGGCTACGGCCTTGCAGAGGCCGGGCCCAGCTGATGGTCCGGCCCTTGACTCTGTGTGAGCACATCAAAGAACCATGCCTGGGGGTGTGCTGCCCACCCCAGCTGGCCACCCCCTGGGTGTCTGAGCAGCCTCCCTTTCTTTGATACATGTTTTCAAGGAAAACCTTGGATAATCCTTACTGACTACTTGTAACTTGGTTATATTTTAGATTAACAGCCTTTAATACAGCCATTAAAATAAAAAAAGAACGATGGGTGGGAGTGGGCCCAGGCCCCAGAAGTGGTAGGTGTGACTGGGCTGCACTACCAGGACTGGCCGCTGGGACGGGCTGTCCTCGAACACTGGGCTGGTCTGAACAAGAAGCTGTCAGTGGCCCATCGCACTGACCACCCAAAGAACCCTAACCACCAGCTCTGTGGGTGCTGACTTGTAGAAGGCTTCTCGGCCAAGGCTCCCCCCAGACCGGCTGAGCCAACCCTGGCACCTGTGTCTTGGGCCACGCACACCTCTCGTCGCAGCCACAGGCCTCGGCCAGGCCCGTTTCTGCTTCAGGGTCTCCCCCACCGGTTCCTCCCCCAGTCTCGCTCCACCAGGCCAACACCTGCCTATGTCCGCAGGCCCCACTCAGACAGCACTTCCTCAGAAAGGCCTTCCCAGCAGCCCTGCCTCGGCCTCACCCCAGAGGGTGAGCTCGGCGCCCCCACACCCGCCTCCTGCCCTCACAGGGCGTGCTAGGGAGGAAAGAACTGGGCTCCGCGTTACACACTGCACAAGGAGCCTTCCTGGCGTCGGCCAGACCCTCCCGGGGCTGGGGGGTGGGGAGGTCTCTCAAGACTCAGCAGCAGAGTCTCCACAGGTCTCCTGGGTCTGGGAGGGGGTCAGCCACTGCCCTGCACGGAACTGTGCACGGTGTGGAGAAGGCCCAGCAGGCCGAGGGGGCGGGGAGCTGCCCACTCACCTCCGGCAACCGCAGGACCTTACAGTACTTCACCCCGTTGCGTAGCCTGGGAGGAGAGAGCAGGAGACGTGAGCATCCTGGAGAGGGGGCCGGGGGTAGGGAAGTGCCCCTCCCACCCCAGGCGCTCCGTGGGGTCGCGTTCTCTGGGGAAGGCCGGGGGCAAGTGCGTGGGCCACAGATGCAGATGAGAAGGCGAGGAGAAGCCTCCAGAATGCACACACTTACTTTTTACACCGTTCACAGCTGTACATGTTGTCACCTGGGCAGTAAAACAAAGAGACAAAGGTTAGAAAGGGTGGACACGGCGGAGGAGTGCACACAATGACTCAGAAGCAGACCCACACCGTGCTGCCTACAAGAGATCTGGGTTTCATCTTCAAGGACACACAGAGGTTAAAAGGGAAGGGATGGGAAAAAACGTTCTGTGCAGTGGTAACCAAAAGAGAGCAGGAGTGGCTGTGCTTATGTCAGCTAAAATACTTTCAGCCAGAATCAGTTACAAGAGACAAAGAGGGTCACCATACAGTGACAAAGGGGTCCGATCATCAGGAGGATGTAACAACTGTGAACAACACTGCAGCACTTGACTATTTAAGGCACAACTGAAGGGAGAAATATACAGCAATTCAGTAACAGTTGGGAACTCTCACAGATCATCCAGACAGAAAATTAATCAAGGAATAGCAGACCTGAATAACACTAAATACAAATGGACCTAACAGACATAAACAGAACATTCCATCCACCAGCACTAGAATACCCGTTCTTCAGAAGTGCACACAGACATTCTCCAGAATAGATCATATGTTGGCTCACAGAGTAATAAACCCCAACATACTTAAGAAGTCCAAAATCATACCTAGTATCTTTTCCAACCACAATGGTATGAAACTAAAAACCAGTAATAGGAGGAAACCTAAAAAATTCACAAATATGTGGAAATTAAACAACACATTCCTGAACAACTGATGGGTCAAAGAAGAAATCCAAAGGAAATCAGAAAGTATTCTGAGACAGAAATGAAGATACAACATGCTACCACTTATGGAAGGCAACAAAAACAACTTTAAGAGGTAACTTTACAGCAACAAATACCTATAGTAAGCAAAAAAGAAAGTTCCCAATCTATTTTACACCTTAAGGAATCAGAAAAAAAACAAACTAACCCCAAAGTTAGCAGGAGAAAGGAGATCATAAAGATTGAAGCAGAAATAAATGAAACAAACTAGAAAGACAATAGGGAAAAAACCCAATGAAAATGAGTTTGGGGGTTTTTTTTTGAAAAGAGAAACAAAATTAACAAATCTTTAGCCAGTTTAACCAACAAAAAAGAGAGAGGGCTCAAACAAAATTATAAATGAAAGAACAGACATAAAACTGACACTGTAGAAATATAAAGGATCATAACAGACTTTATATTGATGAACTATACACCAACAAATTGGATAACCTAGAAGAAATGGATGAATTCCTAGAAATATAAAACCTACCCAGACTGAATTATAAGGAAATGGAAAATCTGAAAGGAAACACCACACAGCTTCCCGCATGACCTGCCTGATGCACCTCTTCCATCTGGCTCTTCCTAAGTCACATCCTTTTATATTAATAATAAACCAGTTGTCTAGTAATAAAATGCTTCTCTGAGTTCTGCAAGCTGCTTGAGCTGCTCTAACTGAACCCCAGGAGGGGGTTGTTGGAACTCCCCATCTGCAGACACTTGGTCAGAAGCCCGGGTGACAACTTGCACTTGTGACTGGCGTCTGAAGTTGGGGAGGGGGAGGTCTTGTAGGACTGAGTCTCTAACCTTGGGCTCTGAGGCTGTCTCTAAGTAGAAAATGTAGAAATCAAGTTAAATGGTAGGATATGACTCAGGAATACTGAACTGTTCCCACACAATGACACAGATAAATGGAAAGATATCCTATGGTCATGAAGCAGAATGATAAATACTGTTAAAATGTCCATACTACCCAAACCCATCTATAGATTCAATGCAATCCAATGATGTTGTTATAGATATAGAAAAAAATCCTAAAATTCACAGGGAACTACAAAAGATCCCAAATAAACAAAACAATCTTGAGAAAGAACAAAGTTGGAGGCATCACATTTCCTGATTTCAAACTCTACTGCAAAAGTTCAGTCATCAAAACAGTATGGTACTGGCATAAAAACAGATACATAGAATGATGAACAGAATTGACAGGCCAGAGGTAAACCCATGCATATATGGTCAACTAATATTTGACAAGGGTGCCAAAATACTCAATGGGGAAAAGATAATCTTTTCAATAAACAGTGTTGGGAAAACTGGATATTCACATGCAAAAGAATGAAATTGTACCCCATCTTACACTACTCACAAAAATAAACTTGAAATTAAAGACTTAAATGTAAGATCTGACACTGTAACACTTCTGGAAGAAAACAGAAGGAAAAAAAGTTCATGGACATTGGTCTTAGCAGTGATTTTTTTGGACAGGATTTTTTATTAGCAAAAATAAACAAGTGGGACTACATCAAACTAAAAAGCTTCTGCATAGCAAAAAAACAAACAACAAAATGAGGAGGGGATCTACAGGATGGGAGAAAATATTTTAGAAATCATATATAAGATTAGAGGTTAACATCCAAAATATATAAAGAATTCATGCAAGTCAATAGCAAACCACAAACAGTATCTCTTAGAAATGGGCAGAGGACTAAACAGGCATTTTTCCAAGGAAGATATACGGATGGCCAACAGGTACATAAAACATGCTCAACATGACTAATCATCATGGAATGATAATGAAAAACACAATGTGTTATCACCCCACACCTGTTAGAATAGTTATCATCAAAAAGAAAGCTTTTCAATTTTTAAAACTTACTTGTGTATTTATTTTTGGCTGCATCACACGGCTTGTGGGATCCTAATTCCCCGACATGGGACTGAACTCAGGCCCTCAAGCAGTGAAAGTGTGGAGGCCTAACCACTGGACCGCCAGGGAAATCCCAGAAAGAGGTTTTTTAAAGAGACAAGAGAATACAAGTTTTGGAAAGGATGTAGAGAAAAGAGAACCCTTGTGCACTATTAGTGGGACTGTAAATCAGCAGTTATTATAGAAGATGGCATAGTAGTTCCTCAAAAAAATAAAACAATTAATAGAACAATCATTCAGTTTAGTTCAGTCACTCAGTCATGTCTGACTCTTTGTGACCCAATGGACTGCAGCACGCCAGGCTTCCCTGTCCATCAACAATTCCCAGAGCTTACTCAAACTCATGTTCATCAAGTCGGTAATGCGATCCAACCATCTCATCCTCTTTCATCCCCTTCTCCTCCTGCCCTCAATCTTTCCCAGCATCAGGGTCTTTTCCAATGAATCAGTTCTTAGCATCAGGTGGCCAAAGTATTGGAGTTTCAACTTCAGCATCAGTCCTTCCAATGAATATTCAGGACTGGTTTTCTTTAGGATTGACTGGTTGGATCTCTTTGAGTCCAAAGGACTCTCAAGAGTCTTCTTCAACACCACAGTTCAAAAGCATCAATTCTTCAGTGCTCACCTTTCTTTATAGTCCAACTCTCACATCCATACATGAACCTGGAAAAACCACTGCCTTGACTAGATGGATATTTGTTGGCAAAATAATATCTCTGTTTTTTTAATATGCTGTCTAGGTTGGTCATAGCTTTTCTTCCAAGAAGCAAGCATCTTTTAATTTCATGGCTGCAGTCACCATCTGCAGTGATTTTGGAGCCCAAGAAAATAAAGTCTGTTACTGTTTCCATTGTTTCCACATCTATTTGCCATGAAGTAATGGAACCCGATGTCATGGTCTTAGTTTTCTGAATGTTGAGTTTTAAGCCAACTTTTTCACTCTCCTCTTTCACTTTCATCAAGAGGCTCTTTAGTTCTTCTTTGCCTTCTGCCATAAGGGTGGTATCATCTGTGTATCTGAGGTTATTGATATTTCTCCTAGCAATCTTGATTCCAGCTTGTGCTTCATCCAGCCCAGCGTTTCTCATGATGTACTCTGCATATAAGTTAAATAAGCAGGGTGACAATATACAGCTTTGATGTACTCCTTTCCCGATTTGGAACCAGTTTGTTGTTCCATGTCTACTTCTAACTGTTGCTTCCTGACCTGCATGCAGATTTCTCAGGAGTCAGGTCAGGTGATCTGGTAGTCCCATCTCTTTAAGAATTTTCCACAGTCTGTTGTGATTCACACAGTCAAAGGCTTTGGCACAGTCAATAAAGCAGAAGTAGATGTTTTTCTGGAACTCTCTTGCCTTTTCGATGATCCAGCAGATGTTGGCAATTTGATCTCTGGTTCCTCTGCCTTTTCTAAATCCAGCTTGAAAATCTGGAAGTTCACGGTTCATGTACTATTGAAGCCTGGCTTGGAGAATTTTGAACAAGCCTGAATTTTGAGAACGATCACAAAACCCAGCAATCCCACTAATGGGTATACAACTAAAGGAAATGCAATCACTGTCTCAAAGAGTATTCTGTGCATCCCTGTTCACCGCAGCATTATTCACAAAGCCAAATGGTGGGAGCAACCCAAGGGTCCACTGACAGATGATGAATAAACAAAACGTGGTCTATTCACACAATGGAATACTATTCGGCCTTAAAACAGGAAGGAAACCTATACCTGATACGATATGGATGAACCCTGAGGACGTCATGCTAACAGACACAGGCCAGTCACTAAAGGACAAACACTGTATGATTCAACTTGGATTGAGGCACCTAGAATAGTCAAATACAGAAAGACAGAAAGTAGGATGGTGGTTGCCCAGGGCTGGTGGAAGGGGAGACAGGGCACTGCTATTTAAGGGACAGAGAGTTTCAGTTCCACAAGATGAGAACATCCTGAAATTAGTTGCACGACAATATGTATATAATTAATACTACACTGAACTGAACACTTAAAAGTGGTCATGATGGTACATTTTATGTTATACATATCTTAAGCTAAAGTCACTCAGTTGTGTCTGACTCTTTGCAACCCCATGGACTGTACAGTCCACGGAATTCTCCTGGCCAGAATACTGGAGTGGGTAGCCTTTCCCTTCTCTAGAAGGGAATAAATATCTTATCACACTTAAAAATTAAAAAGAGTTTTCCCAAAGGTTAATGAGATGCCAATCCCTGAACAGAAAAACAGGAAGAGGACAGGAACGGGAAATTTCAAACTGGGAAATACAGTCAATATTTTAAATGTTTGAGTTTGTCAATAATCAAGGAAACGCAAAATTAAAGACTGCTATCCTTTTTGTCTGCCAAATTAGTAAATAAGGGAACCCCTAAGAACTTCAAGGTGGTGGGGCTGCGAGAGTATGCAGTCCCAGACCCAGCCCAGTAGGCAGGGGAGAGGCACTGAGAGTGCGTCCCAGAAACCTCGAACTGTATGCTTACCCAGCCACCTCAGCCCCATTCCAGCCCAGTCCACTCACCCTTCAGCTCATCAGCAGCAAAGAAGGCAGCCAGGCAGTCTTCCAGGGTGACGACTGGCCCCCAAAACCAGCTAGGGGTACAGGATACCACAAACCTACAGAGACAGAAAGGGAGTGTGTGTGTGGTGGTGGGGGTTGCCGCCAGGGTCTTGGCAAGAGTAGGACATGGGGGCCTGGGGCCTGAAGTCTGTTTGGGTCCAGAGAGGCAGCCTGGCCTGTTGCATGGAGTGAACTGAGGTCTGGAGCCAGAAACCTGGGACCACCAGCCAGTGTCCCTGCAAGGGTAACATCACCTCCCCCTGAGTCTTGACTTCCCTGTCTGTGAAGAGGCCCTGGCCATGCTGGCCTGTCTTCAGGGCAGAGCACAGGTTCCTGACATCAGGAGGGTAAAGCAGGCTTCATGGAACACAGTGGGGGCTCCAGAAAGGCCACCCGCTCTCCCTGCAGGGCCAGGCCCTCACTCAGCCACTGCCCTCCTTTCTAGCTGCCACCTGGTCACTCTCCCCATCATTACTGCCTTCCAATCCATGGCCCTGCTCAAACCAGGCCACCTCAGTACGGCCACAGAACATGCTAACTCCTGAGCATCCTTCAGCCTCAAGCCCCTTCCGAGCTACACCCTCATCCCTGTGAAAGCTAGTATTTTCCTGTTAAAGGTCTGTCGGCCCGTCAGGCTGCCAGCTCCAGGAAGACCAGGCCAAGGGTGGTTATGTCTTCCAGCAGGCAGAGAGGTGGACACACCGTCGGATATACTCCACAATAAAGGCAAGCCAGCCCTGGGCAGCATAGCTGTCCCCGCAGGCGCCCGGCTTGGCTGGCACGTTCTGGTAGATGGCCGAGTGGAGTTTGGCCAAGTCCTCCTTGCCAGGAATGGGCAGTGACAGGTCCTGGAATGTCTCCACCGTGGTGGACACCTGGGGGCGGGGGGTGGGAGGGGGAGGTTGAAGGTCAGCCTGGCTCTCCACCTGCCAGGGTTCTGCCCTGCCCAGACCAGCCTGGGTCTGGACCCCAAACCCCGGCTGCCAGGTGACAGGTGTGGGACAGAGAGCCTGCTCCCCATTCCTGGGACACGGGGAGCCCCACGACCAGGGACCGCCTCTAGAGAGATGCAGAGCGGGGGGTACCGGGCGGAGAGCCAGTGCCCCAGCCCCAAGCTGAGTGGGAAGCCCTGTGCATCGCTCCCCTCCCCGCGGGGCACCCACCCGGTCACAGGTGAGACACTGCACGAGGCTGAGGACGGAGCCGTCAAAGATGTCTGAGATGACGCTGCGGTAGCTCTGCTCCTTCCGCCGCCGGCTGCCGGGGACCTGGGCTGGGGGCACCGCGTCTAGGGCTAGACCTGGAACTAGGCCCCACCCCGCCCGCCTGCCTGGGGAGCCAGGGGCGGGTGCTGGGGGGTCGCGCCTGTACGAGTCACGTGACCGGCTCCCACACCACCTCCTGGGTCTGTGGGAGGCCTACCCCCACAACTCATGTCCCAGCCATGTCAGGATGGCTCAGAGACACCGCGTGAAGGGCGCGCGGCACAGCCCCTGGCAGCAAGTGATCGCAAACTAAACACCGGCCGCCAGGGGCACAACCTCCGCCCCCGTGCCCCGCCCCAAGCTCCAGGCGGCGAGGCCCTGCCCGCTTCCCCTCTCCACCTGCCAGCTCCTCCGAACCTTTCTTGAGCACGTAGGCAGGCCCCATCCTCACGGGGCTCGCACGATGAGGGCTGCTGGCCAGCTTGGCATGGCCCTCGTGGTGGTGGACGGGGCTGCAGGGCCGGGAAGTGCTGCGCATGTGTGCCTCATTGTCCGGCTCTGGGGGCGGATGGAGTGAGGGGGACCGTGCTGGGCAGCTGGGCCAGCCCCCGGCCTGGTCAGGAAGACCTCCAGCGCCTCGGAGGGGCACCAAGGCCTGAACCGAGCCCAGCCCACTCCCCAGTCCCTACACAGGACATGTGTCCACAAACTTCCTATTCCCGGTGGGGGCTTGAACTCAGGGCAGACTCCTATCTCACTCCTTCTCAACCAAGTGACATGCTATTCACCTGACTGTTCACCCAGAGGCCGGTTCTAATGGGAGAGCAGCCCCCTAGTGTTAGTCGCTCAGTCGTGTCCAACTCTTTGCGACCCCCATGGACTGTAGCCCACCAGGCTCCTCTGTCCATGGGACCCTCCAGGCGAGGATACTGAGGAGACCTTCCGGATCCAGGGGTCAAACCCAGGTCTCCTGCACTGCAGGCAGATTCTTTCCTGACTAAGCCCCCCAGGGTAGGGCTGGGGTCCAACGGGGCCGTGGTTCCCCCGTGGCTGGCTGGTACCTGGAGTCCGGCAGGGACTGGTGGAGCGCGGGGAAGGTTGCTCCGTCTCCGGGGGCTGCTGCTCCAAGGCGGCCATGGAGGTGTCCACGTCGGCGTCCTCGTCCACCTGCTCCGAGTTGGTGCGTTGCTGGCCCCAGGAGAACTTGCGGTCCTTCATGCGCTCCTTCTCGGAGATGGCGCGGCCTGCCTCGTCCGCCATCAGCAGCTCCGCCTCGGCCTGGGAGCCTCCGCCGCTGCGCCCCTGCCCGTCGCCCTCGCCGCGGTCACTGCTGGAGTCGCAGGACAGGAACTCGTCCTCTGAGGGGCTCCGGTCGCCCTCCCGCTTCTCATCCGTGTCGCTGGAGTCCGAGTCCCGCGCCTCAGTCAGCGCTGCCGCTGTGGCCACCACAGGCTCCTTGAGTTCCTCGTGCAGCTGGTCCATCAGGCAGCGCAAGAATTCCTGGGTGTCCTGGAATTCCAGGGCGGCCTCAGCATGGGCCGGCAGGGCCCACCTGACCCTTCTGCTGCTGCTGCTGCTGCTGCTGCAGTTAAGTCACTTCAGTCATGTCCGACTCTGTGCGACCCCATAGACGGCAGCCCACCAGGCTCCCCCATCCCTGGGATTCTCCAGGCAAGAACACTGGAGTGGGTTGCCATTTCCTTCTCCAGTGCATGCATGCATGCTAAGTCGCTTCAGTCATGTCTGACTCTGGGCGACCCTATGGACAGCAGCCCACCAGGCTCCTCTGTCAACGGGATTCTCTAGGCAAGAATACTGGAGTGGGTTGCCATTTCCTTCTCCACCCTTTTTACTGAGGACGCAAAGGCTGGGAGGCCAGCCGACCCTTCCCAGGTCTCGCGCTCTGAAGTGGCAGAGTGGACAGGGTGACCCAGGTCCGCCCGACTCCAGCCCTGCTTCTGATTCAGCACGGGAGACAGTGGATGTAAGCATTCAGCCATGAAAGTCTCCTTGCTCCCAAAAGGAGGGGAAGTGAGTGTGAGCACGGAGCTGAGTAGCACACAGGTGACGCCGTGGGGGTGTGTGCTGAATTTTGTGGGCAGCAATGCCAACTGGCAGGCCAGGCCACCAGTAATCTTAACCCGCCCCTGGCGCTCTCTGCTTCTCTGGCCCTTCGCCAGCCCCGGTGCCCATGCCTTCCCGTGACTTGTGGCAGGAGGGACAGGCGTCCCACAGGCCTGGGCACGACTCAGTGGCCCGGACAGGAAGTGGGCAGGACAGAGCTGCCACTGCAGGCTGGCTGGGCCTCTGATCCCGGCAGTGCTGCTGTTACCCTGACTACTCTGTGATGACGACGCAAGCCCAGGGGGAGCCAGGGCAGCGAGGCCTCTGGCACAGCCTTGCCCACTGGCCCAGGCAGGAGCGGTGCACACAGGACGTGCTTCAGAAGGTCAGAAGATGATGGTGGCGGGAGGCGGGCAGCTGGGGGCCCCTGGTGCCCGTGTGGGGCCACTGGGTTCAAAGTCCAGTCCTGTCCCTCACAGTCCCTGACCTGGATGTCAGAAGCAGCCCCTAGGGCCCACCTCCCACCCACACGAGGCGGCGACTATGCAGTGGCCAGAGCCAGACGCATACCCAAAGCCTCAGTTTGCCGACATGGAAAGAGGGGTCTTGTTTCCTCAGTTCTAGGCGAGGGAGGGGCCGGCTCTGGGTGGATTTCGTCAGCAGAGTGTCAAGCAGGTTCGGCCCCAGCTGCAAGCCCAGCAGTGAAACCCCATCTGGGGTAGGACCGGGGTCACCTGAACAGTCAGCTCAGGGCAGCAGGAAGCGTGTGGCTGCATTCTGCTTCACCATGAGTCCGTGAATTTATGTCATAGAAAGATACCACTGATTCTAGAGGGGTTCTCTAGATTTACAAAAACTCACCATCAAAATGCCTAGTTTACTAAAAGTGAAATTTGCCTGTGGTTCAGGGAAGGAGAAAGCATGGGCCAATGTGAGTAGTTGGAGGTACACACACCCAGAGTCAAGGCTGCCTGAGGTCAACCCTCCCCTCTGCCTTGTACCAGCTGTGTAACTGGCACGTGGTCACTGGGTGAGGACTTGCCCGCTGAACCTCAGTCTCCCCATCTGTTGGGTGGGGAGAACACCGGAAGGTTGCTGGGAGGCTCTGAGGTCCTTGCACCCGTGAAGGGCTCGAGCAGCGAGTCTAGTCCAGGAGTCCCGCCTGGCAATGCAGACACCTGGTCTTCTCCACACTGGTCTTGGTTTACAGCCCTGGGTATCTCCTGGGGCAGCTCAGATGGCCTACCTGCTGGGCATAGCCTCGGAACATTGGGTTGACCAACTTGATCCCGTGGGACAGGCTGGTGGGAACCACGTAGCTGGGGCTGTAGGAAGACCAAATCCGTTAGTACACGGTGGCGGTCGGCTCTGCGCTGCTCCAGCCTGCGAGGACAGCTGGGCGGCCTTGGTGGCCAGATCGGGCTCTGTGTGGCATTTACTGCAATGTTGGGCGGTGCTGGCCCGGCCAGGGACCTCAGCAGGTCTGCACATCTCTAAGGTCAGGAAAGGAAAACATCAAGTCATGGCTCAGCCAGGCAGAGAGCTCTTGACTAGGATGGCATCATGTCCTGCCAGCCCATGACACGCCTCCTTTAAAATTGTTCTCATTCTGAAATATTTACTGTGGCTTTCTAATTTCAAAAGCCACACATGTTCATCATTTAAAAATAGAAAATTTCAAAAAATAAAAATAGAAAATTTCATAAAAGCACAGCAAAGAATCATCAACACTAGCAGCATCCTGTAGAGATAACCACCATGATTTCCAGACGTTTCCTTGACGATGCAGACACAAAATTACATGCAGGTAAACACTTGACTGTGGCTTAAAGTTGGAGCTGTATGGCATCAGGCTGTTTAATAATCTGCTTTTAATTTAATGTATTTCTATGCACTCACTTTATTCCCAATTTTAACGTTTTCCTGGATCGACCTCAGGCATCTGGTCTTTAAACTCCTTTTACACTGAGCTAAAGCCCCCGTCTGGTCAGCGTCAGCCACCACTTCTGAAACCCTGTTCAACCTGCACAGATGTGGCTGATACCTGGGAGTGGTCACCACGTGTCTCCGGACCTCAGCACACACGCTCTGAAGCGCTGCCAGCTGCTGTCAATGCCAGGTTCAAGTTCTGGCTGCGCCTTTCACAAGACGTGTTATCTTGGGCAAGACGCTTCAATCTCCCTGGACCTCAGTTTCCCCAGTTTGCGAGCCAGAGTTGGCTGTGACCTATACCTGGAAGGGCTCCAGTAAGCATGATGCAGGGGGAAGTGCAGCCCGTGATGGCGAGAGGCTGAGGGCACCAGAAGTGCTCCATCAAGGGGCCCCATCAAGAGAGCCTGTCCCCATGCCCCTGCCCGAGGTCGGGGACTTGGTCACTCACCGTTTCCTGTGCCAGACCTCAGAGACCAGCTTCTGATAACTTCTGCACAGGGCTGGCTTCTTGTCTGTGCGCACCAGGCCTCCACACTCCAAGAAGAACTGGGTGAGTGGGGGGCTGGGGGAGGGGGAAGGGAGTAGGTCAGCAAAGAAGAGAAGGGGCACGTGGCATTGTTTACAAAAGCTGGCTGGAGGAGCAAGTGTCCTGTGTGGGGATATACCAGGGCCCCCCAGAGCCATAAATACCTGTAGGTGACTTCACAGACCTGTTATAGGGCTGTTATGGGGCTGAATCATATCCCCCCCAAATTCATACACTGAGGTCCTAACCCCCCCAACCTTAGAATGTGATTGCACTGGAGATAAGGTCTTCCTTTAAAGACTATTGTGTAAAAATTAGAGGAACCATCACCCCTCCTTTCGTCGGCCCCTGCTTAGAAACTCTTCCTGAGCCTAAAGGCCTCTCCCCCACTTCTTTTTTCTTTGTTTTTGTTATTTCATTACATAAGAAATAGTCATTTATTATAGAAAAATTAGGAAATACAGATAAGCAAACAATAGTAACTGACCTTAATCCTACCATGTGAGTGAGGCTAGCTCCTCTGAAGATTTGGGGGCATATCCTCCTAGAATTTTCTATGCATGCAGAGCCCCATCCCTCCTCTCCTTCACACACACACACACAGAACCCTTAGTTCTGTGCGAGACCCTGAGTGCCAGACAGAGGAGATGGCCCAGCCTCAAGGAGTAGAGGGTGTCCTAGATGGAAAATAATATTTTCACCCCCAAAATGGGACGGCACCATACAAAGGTTCAAAACCTTTTTCTACTTATCATATTCCGAACTCCTCCTCATTTCAGCAAATATTGTCCTGCACCATATTTTCCTGAACTCACGTAAAGCTGGTCTGTACTAAATTTGTGATTTTTATGGGCCTTTAACAAGGAGTTGGTGATGGACAGGGAGGCCTGGCGTGCTGCGATTCATGGGGTCGCAAAGAGTCGGACACGACTGAGCGACTGAACTGAACTGAATTGAACACGCTTCCAATAAACAGCAGGGTGAGGAACAGCACAGACAGCTTTCTCAATCTCTCTGGGTACTGGAACCTCCTTTAGGATAAATTCCCATAGGAGGGATTGCTAGGTCAAAGGGCAGGTGTGGCTTGGGGCGTCTTGATGTATACCCACATCCAGGCTTCTGTGAGCAACACACAACCCAGCTTGGGGGCAGCAGCTGCTGTTCCCAGGGCTCCCCGGCTCCCAGATGAGGTGAAACCTACCAGTTGGACAGGGCCTGCAGGGCCGCGTTCATGTAGCAGGAGTTGCCGAGGTTCTTCATGCCCGTGAGGCCTGTGACACCAGCACACACACAGAGGGAGGGGACGGTGAGCACTCGGAGAGGAGCCGTGGCTCCCGAGCCCCCCCGGGACCTGCCGAGTCAGCCGATGGAGTCCTACTCCCTGCAGCTCCAGTTACCGCGGTGGACAGAACCCACAGACCCTTTCGCCCTCCGCCCCGTGCAGCCCACTGGCCACGCTGAGCAAGGGCAGCAACCCAGGTTGAAATAAGCTGGCCTGCCCAGGGGCACAGGGCTGAGACAGGGCTGAGCTGCCGGGCCGCACTCCAGGGAAGCCCCCGTGTCACAGAGACCAGCCTACACCGCCCCACCTGCCCAGGCAGCACAGCTCGGGGGGCTGGCACCTCGTGGGGCTGTTACCTCGTGGCTTGAGGTCATCGTCCTCCGACTCGGACTCTCCTTCGTCTGCCACAGCAATGGGGACGGCTTTCAGAGGGTGGGAGGGCGGTGGAGAATCCTGCGTTCAAGAACCAGGGTGAGAAGTCAGGAAGACTAGTAGGTGAGGAGGGAGAGGGGCTGGGGGCAGGCCCACATGCCCATCCCTGCGCTGGGGTGTCGGGGGAGAAGCCCAGACCCCTAGCAACTCAGTCAGCCCACCGGAGCAGGGGGCATGGTGGGTGAGACAGGGCCTGAGTTTGAGTAAACTCCGGGAGTTGGTGATGGACTGGGAGGCCTGGTGTGCTGCAGCCCATGGGGTTGCCAAGAGTCGGACACGACTGAGTGACTCAACTGAACTGACCTAGTGGCCTTGCCCTGGGAACTCTCTGACTTGTACTTTACTTACAATTATGAGTAATAATATTTATAACTAATTTGAGAAAAAACAGAAACAAAGAAAAAACAGGCAGCCCAACTTTTCTGAGACAAACACTGTTGATTATTGTATCTCTGTTACATATAAACTGTTAATACACACACACACAAAACAGGATTTGTATATACTTTTTACAGACTTTTTTGTTAAAAAAAAATCATATATATTGATCATGTATGTCCACAACAGTCTATACACATTTATTGAGCACCTATTATGTGACCCTCAGTGTCAACATGGAGGAACGACAGCACTGCACCCAGACACATCAGGCCTCTCTGGGGGCTCAGATGCCGATTGAATGACCCCTCCCTGAGGGTCAGCTCTGCACTGGGCTCCCCCACCCGCCTCCTGGAAGGGCCTGAATGGCTCCTGGCCTGGTGCACTGCCTGGGGGGAAGGTGTCCAGGTGTGTCCCACGCCGGCCTCGGCCCAGGGCACCTCCAAAGCCGACCCGCCCCCCCCCCCCCCAGTCACCTCTGCGTCCTGAGCCCTCACACCGCTCTGGACAGGGCTGGGGCTCAGCGGGCATTAGCTGACCTGAGCTCCTCAACGCCACCTGGGAACTCGGAGCGGGAACAGATGCTGTCGGGGACCCACAGCCCTGCCCTCGCCCTTGGTTCGCCACTGGCTGGCCCCTGCGCCCCCTCACCTGCTCTGAGAACTTGGGCGCAGGGCCAGGCGGGTGGGCCGCCAGCCGCGGCTCCAGGAACACTTCCTTTTCGCAGGCGTAGCACCACACCCTGAACGTGGTCAGGTTCACCGTCAGATTGTGCTTTTTTGCCTAGAGGGCAAGACGCAAAGGCAGGAGAAGACACTGGCCTACCCGGGGCCGCAGGCTGCCTCCGCAATGTGGGCTCGGGAAAATCTCAAGATTTCCAGGAATCTCAGATGCTGCTCCCCCCACCTCGGCCAGGCGTGCCAAGGGCTGTGGCTGCCTCCTCTCTTCCCTCTTTGCTGTGACTGTTCCCATTTTACACACACAACCTCCGAGGCCCAGAGAGGTGGGTGGAGCCAGGGGGCGGCTGGAGCCAGGGTCTGAACTCTGGGCTGTCTGACCTCGGGGCCCATGCTCCCGGCCACCACGCTCACCTGTGCATGGAGGGTGCTGTGGTCAGCGAAGGATTCTCCGCAGCCGACGTAGGAGCAAGAGACCTGGGGAGAGAAGGAAGGGGAGCGGAGGGGGTGGCCCAGAGGACAGACAGGGCCACGCCATGAGGGGGTGTCCCCGCCGCCATCCCCTGGCACCCCCAGGAACCAAGACCCGGCCGTCGGGCAGGGACACAGGTTTGCACACCCAAGGTGCGCGCTGGGCACAGCTGGCCGCCACACAGCCGCCCCGCCTCCGAGCGAGATGGGCGGTGGGCCCTAGGCTGGGAGGCCTGGCTGCTGGGTGTCCTGACCCTCTCCCTCTCCACTCGCCTCTTTTCCACCAAAACCCCACTTCCTGATGGGCCAGTTGGCGGGACCATGCTTTTGGTCGGGGGCAGGGGGAGCCTGGGCCTCATAGCCGTTTTCTGACAGGGGACACTGAATGCTGCCCTGTGCTGACCCTGTGCCCCCTGGTGACCTGCCTTTGGCCTTACGCTCTCCTCCCCCAAATCCACCCAGCTCCTGAGGCCCAGCTCGTGGCCTCCAACCCCGGCCCTGGCTGTCGGACTGTTTCACGGCAGGAGAGCTCTGGTGCACCCTGAGCGGTGGTCAACACTGCACCGGCTGGTGAGGGCTTCTCAAGAAAACGTGCTTTGGGCTGTCACAGAGGCTGCGTCAAGTTCCACCTCGGTCTCTCGGGGGGCGTCTGTGGGCTCCCGGGAGGCGGGGCCATGACTCCCACTCCCGTGGGCCGTCCCCGGGGCCCCAGACAGCGTCCTGCAGGGTAGTTTGCCCTGAGTGACAGGCCCAAAAGGACGAGGCCAGAGCCCTACAGAGGCTCCTGGGTCTCCTGCAGAGACTTGAACTATGATCTGCGTGCCCATTGGCTGCCTTTTTTTGTCTCTCGTATTTGTTTTCAAAGAAATTTTTAGTAAGATTATATAGTGTGATATATACCTGCAGGAAAGTTGGAAAACACTACAAAGTTACATACAAAAATGAATTACCTGTAATTCTGCAACCCCCAGAGAAAACCGTCACTTGTTCACACATCTACTGTTATTCATTTGGGTGAGCATGATAATCACAACCAGATTTTACCGGACACTGTCTACAGGCCACACACCCTGTTAAGGCCATCACAGGCACCATCTCGTCAAATTCTACCCTAAGGGGGGTCCACAAGGTAGGGGCAGTCGTCAGTGTTGCGGCCTCTCCTTTATAGATGGCAAAACAAAGACCCAGACTGGCCCAGGGATATGTGTGCATTTGCGTGTGTGTGTGTGTGTGTGTGTGTGCATGCGCACGTGAATGCTCAGTAACTCAGTCATGTCTGACTCTTTGCAACCCCATGGACTGTAGCCCGCCAGGCTCCTCTGTCCATGGGATTCTCCAGGCAAGAATACTGGAGTGGGTAGCCATTTCCTCCTCCAGGGGATCTTCCCGACCCAGGGGTCAGACTCCTGTCTCCAGCGTCTCCTGCGTTGCAGGTGGATTCTGTGTCGCTGAGCCACGTGGGAAGACCCGGCCCCGGCACAACTGCCACTAACAAGCGCCAGAGCTCACAGCCAAGACGCTACATCGTCTCACACGCACATGCTGGGCAGAAATTTCCCCTTCATGCCGATGCGCTCATTCAGTCCAGAGTCTTCTCTAGCCTGCTTTTCCCTCGTCATCTTTAACGGTTGCCAGGGCAGCCAGGCCAGGGGCTGGCGCACTCTGGGGCCCTCTTGGCTTGGGCACCACACCCGAGACATCCATGCCCTGTGTCCCTGCCCAAGGTTTCAGGCAGTGCCCACAGAGGACAGGTATTCCCAGCCCAGAGTCTGGACCCAGCTCCAGGCCCCCAGCAGCTTCAGGAAACTTACCTGGAGACAGGCCCACAGGTTGGGTCCAGAAACCCCACATGACTGACAGGTGCTCTGTGTGAGGTGGGGAAAGAGAGGAAGAGGAGGGTGTGAGTGGCCACAGAATGCGTACCATCAGACTCAGCTCAGAGGCTTTGCCTCACAGAGATTCAGCCCATGGGGACACTTTAAGCTTTACTGTTTGAATTTTGTTTTTTCATGTGCCTGAAAAAACATTTTCAACACAATCACTTAAAGCTTAAGCAAATAGACCCTTTAATATGCTCTCATCACACCTTCTACTTCTTCATGACAATCATTTATTTAAGCCTTTCTGCCCGCCTAGACTATGGGTTCCATGAAGGAACCCATAGTTTTGCCTACCCCTGCAACTTCACAGAGTCTGGTAGAAATCAGATCAGTGTATTTGTTGACCACAGAAACACCCAGGTATCTGTTGATCAGGATGACAGAGCCTGCTTCTGGTCCACTGATATCTCTCTTCCCTGCTTTAATAAAAGAATCTATGTATTTTGGCTGAGCACATGGTCAGTGAGCTACAGACTATGTGTTTTAGCCCCCACTGTGATCATAGGGCTCAGTTCTAGTCAACAGCATAACAGTAAAAAGTGACATGTGCCACTTCTGGGTTTTGCACAACCCTTGGTCTCTCTCCTGTTTCCATTGGCTGGAATGCAGATGTGATGGCAGGAACTGAAGCAACCACTTTGGACCTGGAGGTGAAAGCCATGTGTTGAGAATGACAGAGCCACTCTATCAGAGCCACCTACATCTGGACTGCCCAATGAGAAAAGTAAACTCCTATCTCATTTAACTCACTATATTTCAAGGTCTTTTCATTATAATTTAAACTGTCCTAAGTAACTTTGTCTGTGCCTGTCTAGAACGGCAGTTTCCAGCTGAGTTTCCACAATACCCAGTGTGTCTCTGCCAGTAGTGAGATGAATTCTAAGCACTGGTCTCTGTAGCGGTTGCAGAGCTGATCCCTGGTGAGGGGTCACAATGAGCCAGGTATCCAGCTAAGTTCTTTGGACCTTGCTCATGTAATCCTTTTCACAGTCTCTGCAACAGGTCCCAAGATCCCCTTCTTACAGATGAGAAATGGAGGTTTGGAGAGGTCATGACCCTACTGTCGGAAGCACTGTCAGCGGAGGAGTCAGGGTCATCAAACTTACGGGAAAGGCCGTTTCCCCCCAAGGGTGGCCACATCGACCCTCAGGCCTCCGTGGGAACTTCTTTTCACTAAGCCTGGATTCTGGCTGTGTTTGTAAAAATCCTGAACATGGCTCTCTCAGTAAGGTTGAGAAGGCGCAACTCATCCCGTCAGTGGGGCCGAGGTTTGCAGTCTGTGTCTTAGGGTCTCTTGCCAAGGATGCTAAGGGTGGCAGGAGACCAGTCTGCTTGGTAGACTCAAAGTGGCTGCTCCTGACCTTTCCAAATTTGTCATCTCTTTTGTGACTTTCTGATTTCACAGTTCACTCCCATCTTCCCAAGTTTTTTTTTTCATTTCAGTCATATGAATGATAAAAGTATTATATGCTTGTTTCAACAATTTAAATGATACGCATACGCTGTATATAACATGTAGCATATTATATACAATACACATATGCTGTATAAAATGTGTAGCATATTATATATAATACATACATGCTATATACGTGTCATATAGTATACATCATACACATATGCTATATATGTGTCCTGTATTACATACAATACGTATATGCTGTATATAATGTGTAGTATATTATATGTAAAATATACATGCTGTATTTGTGTCATACATTATATACATGTACGCTGTACATATGCTGCTGCTGTTAAGTTGCCTCGGTCGTGTCCGACCCTGTGTGACCCCATAGACGCTGTACATAATGTATCAGATATTACATATATGCTCTATATAATATGTAGTGTATTATATATAATATATATATGCTGTAATAACTTGAAGTATTTCTCTCCATGCCTTTGGCTAGTAAAAATAAGATCACACTATACAAACTTCTCAGTAACAGGCTTTTGCCCCCTATTTAGGGCCATCCTTCCATGTCTGTACGCAGAGACCCCATCCCATTCTTTGCGATAAGTACACACGGGCCCACACTACAGGCATGGACGCCACAACTGCCTCACTCATTCCCTTTCTGGTAAATACGCTGATGACCGCCAGTGTTTCCCTTTTACAGATAATGCTCAGGAAACACTGCTGTATTCGAATCTTGTAACTGGTGCATACACTGCGACTAGAGACATTCCGAGTGGGAATTGAACCCCTGCAGTCACGGTAACTCGACTACAAACGTCAGGTCCACTTCCCTCCCTCTGTCGGCTCTGAGTGAGAGCATGTATGTGCCGTATGCATCTGAGACGGTGCCATGTTGGTTTCCTGGCAGAATCCTTGACCACCAGGGAAGCCAAGCACCTTTCTTCAAGAGTTTCTCAGCCATCTGCATTGCCTCCATTGTGAGCTACCTGGTTCCATCCTCGAGCCTTCTGGGTATTTTAAAACCATGTTGGTTTCATTTTGTAGATTTCCAAAAGGCTGCCATGTCCCAGCCCGATCTCCGAAGTTCTGCCTCCCTCTTCCCGCCTTGTTCATCTCCTCCCTGCTCTCAGATTTCCCAAGAAACTGAGTTTGTTTCACTTATTCCTTTGTGCAGACTCAGGAAGAGACCCGGCGTTAGACACTGCAAGTGCACCGCAGCCTCGCTCTGCTGTTCCTCCTGACCACACTGAAACCGTGCTCCACAGGGTTAGCAGAAATTGGTGACGAACAGAAATGGAACTTGTCTTACACAACAGCACTAAGGGAACAGCTGGGTAAAAAACCCCTCTGCCTGAAGCCTGCCTTCACTGAGCAAGCTTGCCTTAATTATTATTTTTTTTAAACTGCATACCCTCTATGCTTCATATAGCCTATACATCACAAGACTCCTTAACCACCCCTAGAGATAAGAGCTCTGATGTATGAGTCGCTATAGTAATAGGGGTTTAAGCTGTTTTTTCAGAAACTTGGAGTCTTGTCCAGTTCGAGCCGGCTAAGACTGTTTGGGACCACTAACCCTAAAATTGGGTGTGTGTTAAGTGTCCGATAAATGACCTTTTGATGTCAAAGGGCCCAAAACTCCAGCCTCAGATCATGCTAAGCACCTCCATTTTTGAACACGCATCCTAGGAAGAAGCACGTAACTCAGACACAGCTGTGCCGAACACTGATGACCTCATCTCTCCCCACCCTGCTTCTTTATCCCATAAACATCCCACGCCCCTCGCCTTCTGGGAGGCTGATCGGAGGCTTGTTCTCCTGTCTCCTCACTTGGCTGTCCTGTGAACCAACCCTTTCTTTGCCGCAAACCTCGGTGTCTCAGCATTTGGCTTGCTATGAATCAGCAGATGAACCTGGTTCAGTAAAAGCAAGCAAAACGACTTCAAAAGAAGCCACAGGAACTTTGAAGAATCACGCCTGAGACTAAACCAGCTCAGGCCAAAAGCCACCCAGCACCTGCTGGTGCAGGGAGGCTGAATGACCAGCGTTAGGTGCCTGGAAAGAAGACCCAGAAACCTGTCTGGGAGTCTGACCCAACCCCCTCCCCGGGAACGGCCCCTACATACGGCCCTGCCCCTGAACACAATGACACTATACAGGCAGAAGGCTGCAAAGGGCCCGGATGTCCACCCACAGAGGATCAGCTGTGGAGTCCACACAATGAACTATGATGCAACTTTAAGACAAACCATGAGATCCGTGTGCTGAGGCCAAAGAGCTCCAAGATACACTGCCAGGTGAATAGAGCATGTTACCAACACAGCTACAGTACACTACTTTTTATGTAACAGAGGGGAAAATGAAAAATAAGTATTCCCAAAAGCAAACTCTGAAAAGATAAAAGAAACCAGTTTGTGGTTGTCTGGAGGGTGGGATGGAGAGGGTGGGCACAGGGCGGGTGGGAAGGGGACCCCTTCACATTTTTATTCTTACGTCATTTCCATGTGAAAGTGTTAGCTACTTAAAAAAATTTTTAATCTAACAAATAGACAAAAACACATCCTCCCTATTTAGTGTGGCCCACCTTTGGGAATCCCCTGGGGGTCCCACGGTTAGGACTCCAAGCTTCTACTGCAGGGGGCATGGGTTTGATCCCTGGTCAGGGAACTAAGACCCTGCAAGCCACAGTATAGACAAGAAAAAAAAAAAAAAAACCAGTGGCCCACCTCTTCTCTTTGAACCTCCCTGAGCCCTTCTCAGGTCAAGTGTGCAGAAATGCCCGTGGACTCTCGGAGCCTGACTCTCCGCCTTGCACCTGCTCCAGCCACTAATGGGCATCAGTGCTCCCAAATGGATGGTCTGCATGGTAATTAATGGCTGTTAGGACGCAGCCCCGGAAGGCCTCCTGAACAGACGCCAGCTTTTCCATTTACATAAAAGGCCAAGCAGAGACTGCTGGGAGCCAGTGCTTCCTCGGCTTCAGAAATGTCTATATCCCAGGAACGTGGCAGGGGTCGGGGGGTGGGGGGTGGTGTGCCCTGGGTGTAGGCCTCAGCCCCCGAAGGTCTGACCCTTTACCTTGGATTTGAGCAGCAAGTCCTCTTTGGTCACCTCCCCTATCGAGTCAAGATGAGGACAAAGGTCCCTGGAGTCCCCCATGCTGGCCCGGGCTCACCTACAAGGAAACACAAGAGATCCTGGGTTAACGGCAGCCCCTGCCTGCTGGAGGCAGGAGAGGCTGGGGGTTAAGTGCATACTTGGGTCTCGAGCCTCAGATCTGTCACATACTGGCTGGTGACCCGGAGAAGCTACTTAACTGCTCTGAGCCTCACCCTCTTCGCCTGAGGATTGGGGAGGGAGATAACACCTTCCGGAAAGGTTGCTCAGAGGATTCACGGAGGAAATATCAGTGAAATGCCTGGCCCAGGGACAGCAAGTGCAGGGAGATGATTAGAATTCAAGCGCTGGGTGTGATGATGAGAACTGTTGATAGGGAAGACGCAATGGTGCTTCTTCCATTTGGGGAGCTGTCTGTTAGGGACCATTTGGGGAGCTGTCTGTTAGGGAATCTAAAACCACAGTCCTGTTGAAAGAGACCAGCTCCCTGACCTGGAGACCACTCTACACCAGGGGGCAGCAGCGGGCAGGATGGAGAGGCCAGGTCTGAAAACCAAGTAGAAAGGCAAGAACAGAAGGGGACCACCCTCTTTTATGAGCAAGCAAGCTCCCTCTTCTCAAGAGTTTCAGAGAGGCCAGGTCACCCAAAGGCCACTTATCTCACTTCCTGTGAGAAACCCCACTTAGAGAAGAATCTTTAAATGCCATGATACTAGAGGAGGAAGTCAGAGCAGCAGCTCCTCCAGAAAATGTTATTTGAGAACTAGAAAGTCACAGAGAAGGGCAGGCAAACCAAGCTAGGAAGGGGTCTGAAAGATGTTCACTGAGGCACCAACGGTGGTGTATCTGGGTGAGAGATTTCGTAAGAGCTGTGCTGTTGTTGCTTTTTTTTTACAATTATAAAAACAAAACTCAGATGATATACTTTTTAAAGTACAAGGTATAAAGTAAAATAGAGGGCTTCCCTGGGGGCTCAGACAGTAAAGTGTCTGCCTGCAATGCAGAAGACCTGGGTTCAAAAAAAAAAAAAAAGACCTGGGTTCAATCCCTGGCTTGGGAAGATCCCCTGGAGAAGGAAATGGCAACCCACTCGAGTAATCTTGCCTGGAAAATCCCATGGATAGAGGAGCCTGGGAGGCTACAGTCCATTGGCTCACAAAGAGTCGGACACGACTGAGCAACTTCACTTCACTTTCTGGTGACTCAGTGGAATCTGCCTGCCAATGCAGGAGACATGAGTTCCATCCCTGGGTTGGGAAGATCCCCTGGAAGAGGAAATGGCAACCCACTCCAGTATTCTTGCCTGAGAAATCCCATGGACAGAGGAGCCTGGGAGGGTTAGACTCCATGGGGTCACAAAAGAGTCGGACACAACTTAGCAACTAAACAACAATAACAATAAAGTAAAATAAATTGCTGATGATATTGTGGCAAACTTCCATCCTGACGCTCTTCTGTATATAGTTCTTCTCTTTTTTAAATCAGAAGGAAAAAAAGCTATTTCAGTTTGAAAAGCAAATGCTTCCTTCAAGGGAACTCCTTGGCGGGCTGGGCAGCTCTGCATTTTGACTGTGGTGGTAGTGACATGGATCTGTATGCATTTGTATGTATTAGTTGCTCAGTCGTGTCCAACTTTGCAACCCCACGGACTTCAGCCCTCCAGGCTCCTCTGTCCATGGGAGTCTCCACGCAAGAGTACTGGAGTGGGTTGCCATTCCCCTCTCCAGAGGATCTTTCTGACCCATGGATCAAACCCGGGTCTCCTGCATTGCAGGCAGATGCTTTGCCATCTGAGCCACCAGGGAAAACTGCCTGGAACTGAACACACACACACACACACACACAGATGAGTAAGGGTAAAACTGGTGAAATCTGAATGAGTTCCTTGGGTGTACCAGTCACTCTGCTGGTCATGATGCTGTACTACGGATACACCGGAGATGCGGTACCACTGGGGGACTCTGGGGGAAGGGAACATGGAACCTCCTGGAACATTTTTTGGCAATTTACTGTGAATCTATAATTATCTCGAAAGAAAACGTTTAAAAATAAATAAGTAAATGCTGCTGCCACCCAATATTTTAGCAGAAATTGTACCCAGGAACCTGGCTTTTGACTCTAGCTCCAAACTATCACGGAGAAAAACGGCCCAATCAATCAAAGATGCAGTAGAAGCCGACAGTGCTTTAATCAAAGGCAGAGGTTGTGCAACCACCAGAGGGAGGTGAACCCCTCCCCCAGGCACCCTCCTGCAAGCCCCTCCCCACCCTGAAGAATCTGCCAGCGGTGAACTGGCCGACTCCACGACAGAACAGGAGTGACTGGTGCTGATGAGGGGCCAGGTCCCGGACTAAGTTCTTTCCGTGCCTTCTTCCCCTGAAAGCTTCCCCGGCCATCTCAGAGGCTGGGCTTTGCCCCATTTTACAGGTGAGTAAACAGGACACCTTCTGATCCCAGGTCTTGCAGAAAGGAGCTCCAGGACTGAGGCCAAAACCCAAGCATGTCAGACTCTTGGCCCCGCTCTTTGGAACTTACAGAAAATGCAAACATATGCGGAAGTAGACAGAAGTGTGTAACCTGCCCCCACGCATTCATCACCTGGCTTCACAATTAATCCATGGCCAACCTCGCTTCATATCAACCTGCCACGTCCTCCTTTTTGCAGCAAATCCCAGATATCACATCATTTCATCCACATATGTTTTTCTATGAGACTCAAAAAAGAAAAAAAAAAAACCCACATAACCACGATTCTATCATTTCACCTAAAAAGAAAAATCTGTACTTCTTTCTTGGTCCGTGTGTAAGGGCGACACCTGAGTGGGAGAGGCTGCGGGCCTACCTCTGTGCAAAGCGGCAGCCCCAGGAGGCAGTCACCCTCCGCATCCTTCGGTCCCGGCCGACAGTGGGGAGTCGCTGCGCTGGGCTGGGGTGAGCACAGGCTTCTGCAGGGGGACCTGGGAAGACAAACCAGCACACTTCATGTAGTTCTGTTAACCTTAAAAATCACTCCTGAGCTTTCCCTGGAAGAGTCAGCCTGGCGATGCAAGGGATACCAGTTTGATCTCTGGTCTGGGAAGATCCCCACATCCCTTGGAGCAACTAAGTCCTTGCGCCAGAACTGCTGAGCCTGTGCTGAAGAGCCCAGGAGCGGCAGCTGCTGAAGCCCGCGCGCCGAGGGCCTGTGCTCTGCAACAAGAAGGCCGCCCACTGCAACAGAGGGCAGCCCCTGCCGGTGCAACTAGAGAAAGCGTGCGCGCAGCAACGAAGACCCAGCACAGCCAACATCAAAATAAAATACCTAAATCAGTCTTCAAAAAGAAACACTCTCAACACCAGGCAGAAGCTATCAACAGCCCACAATTCCTCCTGTGAGGCGGCGGGGAGTGAATTTTTGGACATTTGGGGCATGCACAGGCTAGACATACTCCCCATTCTGTCTCCAGGGACAATAAAAACACACCACTGCTGGGAGGGCTGAAGTAGGCTTGGGTGGAGCTGGCAAACAGGGTCAGCCCTCCCCCCGGGGGGGATGTCAGACCCCTCGCTAGTCACTGCTGGGCATTACCTTTGTGATCCCTAAGAGACGGTGGGGAAGCGGAGGGCCACAGGGGGCCGCTCCAACAACTGCTCCCCACTGGATCGGAGGATCCACCCTTTCCACGAGTGTCAGTGAGACCCTCAGATCATCCTTCCAGTCTCCAGAGAACTTTCCACTGCTCAGAACTGCTGACCCCCGAGTCGTGAGCAAGCCTAGGCTACAGACACAGCACGGCACGTCTGCACGTCAACACTGCCCCCCTGTCTTAGTGGGCCATGTCTTCTAGGTGTGAGCAGTTCAAAGAGGGAGAGGCAGTTAGAAGCTACCATTTAAAACGGTCAAGTGACAATGACAGGGCTCAAGGTTCTGAATTCCAAGGCTCCTCACTTGAAGTCAGGCTTTTACTTTCTTCGTTTCCACTGAGGTCAAGTGCGCTGGGCGGCTGCCAGCTTCACACTATTCTAAGCTGCTGTATGTGGGTTTTTCAGTGTCTTTGGTATGCGCCCCATCTCTTGGGCTAGATGGTGAAGCCAGGTCATGAGTGCGAGACTCCATGCCAGGAACACTGCCCCAGACAAGGACGACGGTTGACAGGCCCACTCCTGACTCACAGGTGCCATCAGACGACTCAGGTTCTTGCAACTTCAGGTACAAGAAGGAAAAAAAAAAAAGCCCTGTGGCAAACAAACCTGTGTACTGTCACGGTCCCCGCTTTAGGGATGAAGAAACAGAACTGGAGTTTAAGGAGCCAGGAACCTGGCCAAGATCAATCCTGGGCTAGTAAGCAGTGGGCGGGACCTGACTGGTCTGTCCAGCGCACAGCCTTGCTCTAAGTCAGGGGTCAGCAAACTTTTTCTGTAAAGGCCCAGGTAGGAAATATTTCAGGCTTTGCAGGCCACGCTGATCTTTATCACGTACGTTAATTTTATTAAAACTAAACCAAACGGCCCTTTTCTATTTACAGGCTAGGCAGGAGAAGAGGAAACGTTTTAATCAAACACAGAAATTAACGAGGCAGAAACAAAGGAGTGAAGAGGAGACCCTTTTCTGGATGAGTCACAGGGTGGAGGAGCTGCACTCTCAAGCCAGCCAGGTAGCAGCCTGGGGCGCTTCCTGGGGTGGGGCTTCCCGGACCTCTCAGGGGCTGCTGCCCTTCTCTGAAATGGCCCCCAAGTGTTTTGTTCGTGCTCTGTGGGCCTGCAGATCTCCAGGGGAGGAGGTTCTGCTCCCCGGGGGGCTCTCAGGGGTCTGAGGAGAAACAAGCACAGATGCAAGAGGGGACCCTCATGTACCGATGACGCCAGACACAGGTTCCTCGTATTTTCGAAACTTTAAAGATGATACTTAAAAGTAACCTATTAGGGTCTGTATTACAAAGTGAAAGGAAGTCGCTCAGTCGTGTCCGACTCTTTGGGATCCCATGAACCATAGCCTACCACGCTCCTCCATTCATGGGATTTTCCAGGCAAGAGTACTGGAGTGGGTTGACATTTCCTTCTCC